ACAAAGCCTTCAAGAAGATGACGATTCTCCAGGAAGCCGGCAACGATGTGGCTAGGCTGTGGAATGGTGTTGCCAAGGACTTGCCGCAGGCGCTGGATGTAGTGAGGACCTATGGCACCGAGCGGTGCGAACTGGATTAACAGGTCCTGGAAGAATGGTGCCTCAGGTTGGGCCAGGTGATGAAAGCCCCCGCTGCTGCTGAGATCGACCTCAAGGGAAAATTTCAGATCAGGTCGCCGTTGAAACTTGAATTCTGGCAGGCATGGCAGAAATTCAGCCGTGACCCGGAGAAGCACATAGCAGACTGGGCGCGGTATGGGGCACCGCTAGGCATGGGGGCAGAAATCACCAATTGATGACAACTCTGGGGAGGGCCAGCTGTCATCACTCGAGACACAGCTGGATGCCAAGAATTACACATCAATCTACGACGACCGTGAGGGAGCGCAAGGCGAACTGGACAGAGGATGGTGAGCAAAGGTTGTGCGGAGATCGTGCCCACGGCCAGTTCAAGACGGGCTCAGTCTCGAAACTCTCGTCACCAAGGCCAAGCCGAGTGGAGCGGTGAAGTATCGCCTCATAATTGATTTATTGAGGTCGGGAGGCAACGGGTTGGCCAAGATCCCGAAAAGGATCGTGTTGCCCAGAGTCTAAGACGTTGTCAAGGACATCCAAGAATTGTGCTGTGGCAACAGTATGGAGGACAAGATGCGGGAGCAGATTGGGGCATGGAGCTCGGTGGGAGACGATCTCAGTGACGCGTATTGTCACTTTCGGTTGGCCCCTGAAGAATTGTGTCATTGCATTGCACCGTCCCTGGAGGAGGACAAGTTGGTGATCTTCAAGGCCATGAGCTTCGGCTTCAAAGGGGCCCCGCTGATAATGGGCCGGTTGGCCTCAGCTCCCACGAGGCAGTGGCAAGCCATGGTCCAGGAGCGAGCTCACATTCAGACTTACATGGACGACCCCCTGAAGGTTAACTGCGGAACACAATACTGGCCAGGCTGTTGTACACGGCCAAAGCCTTTGGGGTGAACCTATCGTACGAGAAGGGCGAGTGAGGTATATGGCGTTCACTTGGATTGGGGTGTTGCAGCTGATGCAGGGATGGCGCGGGGATGGTGACAATTAAGGCAGGAACTCCGAGCCACCACGGCAAGTTGTCTTGGCTTGCAGGGATCTTGCCGAGGACACGCTGGGCGGTATCGATCTTCTACTGCACCTTGGCCGACGCGGAACGAGAAGCTGTCGAAGGGGTGGGAAGATCAGGGCAGCAAAGAGACAGGGCGACAATAGGCCCAAGCGTGGATTGGTGCCGGTCAAGCGGCTGGAGCTAGCCTGCAAGTGGTTCGTGCAACAGAAAGACGCATGGAGCTGCAGGAGAATCCCTATGCAAGTGCAGTTGCCAAAGTATTCCGTGACTACGTGACTACGGATGCATCACCTTTCGGCATAGGTGCAATACTGGCCGTGGTGGACAAGGAGCAGGACGAACTGACGCCCACGGTGGCATTGGCTGGGAAAGTCACGGTGCTCGAAGCGTTCGCAGTTCTCCTGGCAGTCAAGCACTGGAGAGCTACATTGAGAGGCTGCAAACTTTTGCTCAAGGCGTACTCCACCGTGGCCCTGGCTTTGAGCAAGAAGCTGAGCAGTTCGACGCCGACGTGTTGACTACATCGGTGCGGAGCTCAGCATCGCCCTGGGAGGAGCCCAGATGCACGAGCTGTTAGCTCATCATTTGCGAGAGAATTGAATGTAGAAGCAGACTTTTTGTCCCGGCCAGACATGCAAGGACCACCCCCGGGCTGACTGAAGGATCTGCCGGTCCGGCGTCTCAACGAAGCTTGGATGCTGGAGACGGTGCTCCCTCCGCCAGGGGTGGAACCGCAGCTGTGGGGAAAAGCACCGCTATTGAGTGCGGTGTGCAGCTGCATGTAAGGATTGGTGCTGGCAGGAAAACAGCATCACCGCCTTTTTCTGAAAGGTGGGTATGGAGTTTCACAAATGCATGCGGATCATCATGCCGTGGGTTTGGTGTTGTTGCCCACCTTACCTTGGTTCATGCCGCTGCCGTTTAACATAAAATGAAACTAACCCCTTGGGAATCCGTCGAGCCCGAGGAGCTCTTGTGGCTTCAACTATCCGCGATATGGACTTGCTTATGCGGCGTGGGCGGCGGGAGCCTGCCTACGTGGGCTATGGGCTGGACATGTTCGGGGGCGCCCGGCTACAAATCCCATTGCAACTTTCAGGGCACTCAAGCCATGGAGAAGGGAATGACACGGAGTGGAGTAGGGGACAGCCGGACATCGCCTACCTCATCCCCAGAACGGGGCAAGTTAGGAACACGGCGGGAGGTCCACATGGTCACCCCGGAGAAAAGGATTCAGTCCCCCAAGACACCACCGGCTCCAAAAACGGTTCCCAGGTCCAACATCTTGCACGACATGGCGGTGAGGGCGCAGCCAGTCATGTGGGAGGTGGAGAGGCAGGACCGAAAAAGGAGAAAGTTGGATCCCACAGTCGTCAAGGGACATTTGATGAGGACGGGGGCGTGACGAAGCAGTGCGGTTGCAGAGGGACCAGCGGTTATTTGCAGCTTGGTTCGGGATTGGGGAGCAGGCGTGCAAGAGCCTCGACAGTGGGACCCTCCGAATCGTGCCCCGCGCCATCCGTCTCAAAGGCAATAGAGATAATAGCATAGCCAGATCGGCGAACTTCAGCAAGCTGGTGGGCTAGAGTGTCAAAAGAGCGGAGGTGCTAAAGCTGGCGAAGGACACGGCCGGTCCCTCAGCTGGGAGACGGTTGAAGGTGTGGTGGCGGCGGCGCTGAAGGAGGCAGGCATGAAGTCGGGACCGAACTGAAACTAATCCATGTGGAGGCAGGACATGAGATTGAAGCTTGGTTGAAGCGATCACTGGAAGTGAGAGTGGAATCTTGGGCGGCGGACAAGTTGGAGGGCAAGTGTTGGAAGAAGGGCGCTCCGAGGGACGCCGGCCTCATGTTCATGTGGGCAGCAGTTTGGATGCCACGTGAGATTGGGGTGAGAAGGATGAAAATAAAGGATGTGCTGAGAAAATCTGAGAAACGACCAGGACAAGTGGGCGGCCATATGGTTACCTACCCCAAAGTGTGACCAACAAAGTGCAGGCATCCGGAGAACTTTGAGCTGCTGTGGTAAGGTTCCGTGTGAAGCCTACTGCCCATGGAAATTGGCGGCGATGGTGATGGCCAAAGCGGGCGATGTCCTGGGTGTCTCAGATGATTGGTTATTCAAGGACGCGAGATCTAGAGCTACGACGAAGCAGGGTGTCATCTCTGCTTGGAAGCAAGCGTTCGCCAAAGAAGTCGCAGGCACAGCCCCAGAAGGAGTGGGGCAATGCACTACGTTCGAAAGGGCCTTCCTATCCAAGAACTGGCTTTCTTGGGAAGATGGAAACGTACGCGGAGGAGGCGCTGCAGGAAAGACCCATGCCCCTGCCAGTCAAGATAAGTGCGCGACTGGTGGACAAGCTCATGCAGCAGAAGGAAGTGAGTGAGGGTGAGAAGAAAGCCGATGATCAGGCGACTCCACAGGCAGAGGCACCGTCTCTGGAGAAAGCCTTTGGTAAACCCAAAGATCTGTGGGTGGTCACGAAAGGCAGGGGCTGGAAAAGCAGACCAAGGCATTTGGTCACCAAGGCCGCCAAGGCCACTTGGCAGCTCCCAATCGAAGAATGGTCAACGGGTTGCGGTTGGGTTTTCGCAACTCACTCCACAGAATTCTACTTCCTTACTGGAGCGCAGGTGGACAAGTTGAAGTGCCAGAAATGTGAAGCATACGTGAAAGGCGCGACTACAGTCAGGGAGGAGGTGAAAGCGCCTCAATTAGCAGATAGATGATAGATCTGCTGCATGAAACTGCCAGCAAATGTCAAGCAGTTTGGCCAGCACAGAAACAGGCCAAACCTCATCCAACTGTGTCAAAAGATGTTCCATGCACAGGAGGGTGGGTGGGGAGATAAGGCCCGATGTGAAGTTGTCGATCCATTTATGGGCCCAGGGTTAGTCATCAGAAGGGTTACTCATCACATCATGGCTGCAATTCAATAGACTGTTCTTTTATTATTCAAAATTGGTAAATTCCATTCAAAAATAGGTTTCCACACCGAAGCATGCAAAGTCAAAGTCATTCCTTTTCAATCCCCCGTGTATATCCCCCTAGATGCTTTTGGGCCCCAGTCTATACCAAATAGTTTGGTATAAACTGGACTGGCCACATTATTGGGGTCTATAAAGTAGAAAACTAACATGTTTCGGCCATAAATTCACAAGCCAACGTTGTATAAAATGGCCTGGCCACCTGGTGGTTGTGATAGTGGTGGTGGTGATAGCGGTGGTTGTGAAAGTGGTGGTTGTGAAGGTGGTGGTTGCGATAGTGCTGGTTGTGAAAGTGATTGCTGTGAAAGCGGTAGCTGTGACAGTGGTGGTTGTGAGAGTGGTGGTTGTGAGAGTGGTGGTTGTGAGAATGGTGGGTTGTGAAATTGTGATAGTGCTGGTTGTGAGAGTGGTTGTTGTGAAAGCGGTGGTTGTGATAGTGGTGGTTGCGATAGTGCTGGGTGTGAGAGTGGTTGTTGAGAAAGCGGCGGTTGTGACAGGTTGTGATAGTGTTGGTTGTGAAAGTGGTGGTTGTGAGCGTGGTGGTAATGAAAGTGGTGATTGTGATAGTGGTGGTGGTTGTGATGGTGGTTATGATAGTGGTGGTGGTTGTGATAGTGGTGGTTGTGATCATGGTGGTGGTTGTGATAGTGGTGATAGTAATACCGGTGGTTGTGATCGTGGCGGTTGTGGTGGTGGCCGTGTGGACTTTGAATGCCCGTAAGGGGGAAACATAGACGTCTAAACTTCCTTTGGTTGATTAAACTAAACGCGGTCATTTTTGAAACTCTGAAACTTTGACACCAGCTGCGACTAGCCATTGCAAACAACAACCTGGTGGACATATTGCAGCCATCCCTGAGGCTCTCGGATGCGGGCCTTGCTTGAAGGTGCTGATGTCAGGCGCCTGTTGGATGCCGCCCCAGCATGCCCCAGCAATTTCTGCACGCAACATGCGAACGATGAAAAAGTGGGAAAATTTGAAGATGTTTGAAGGTTTTTCAAGCATGGAAGGTGTTCGGTGAAAGTGCGTAGTTATCCGGTGAAACAGGGACAGGAAGAAACCAGCAATCAGATGTGTTGAGTTCTGGATGACGCATGGCGACACATACAGAACACTTAGGCTCACAGCCCTGAGTTGCAAAAGGACCCCCAAAGGGCAGAACCATGCAAGAGGATATACTCGAAGAGATGGGCAAGGGGGAACCACATGAGCGACGTTTTTATTTTGGTATTTTTTGCGGGGTATACGAATCAAAAAGAAAATTTCAGGATTAGGATCAGTGTTTTTAGGCTAGCAACGTTATCAGGATCAAAAACATAGCCTTAGAAAGGAAGCAAGGAAGGAGTGAAGAAAGGCAGGAAAAAAGAGGAAAGGGAAGAAGCAAGCAAGGAAGGAAGGAAGGAGGGAAGGAAGGCAGGAAGGAATGAACCAAGGGGGGAAGGAAGGCACCAGAATGCCGCACCGCATATAAATACCATGCCGAATAAAAGGTTCCAGGCCCAAAATGCTGCAAAAAACATTGAAAATGCTTCAAGGGTTCCAGAGTCCACAGTGTTGCAAAAATACAATGCAAAATGTGAGGTTTCAGCTCCGAAATGCTGCAAATACCATTGCCAAGAATGCAAATGAGAAGTTCGAGTTCGAGAGTGTTGCTATAATTCGCCATACCATGCCAGATGAAAAGTTTAAACTCGAAATGTGCAAAGACCATGAGAGATGAGAGTGCTCAAAACCTTGCATGACAGATTTAAGTTCCAAATTTCCAAATTGGTTCACAATTTCCTGCTTCCTTCCAAAGCCACCTACATTCAAGGAGAACATGAACAACCCGATGGCTTCCAATTTTCAACAACCAACATACAGAACATAGGCAGCTTCGAAAAAACACGCGCATATCTTCACAGAAAATTTGTGCAGGCCTAGAACGAGGGTACAGGCCTGAAAAGAATGTAATGGAACAACAAAAATGGTTACCCATAAGCATCCGAAACAGCATGGTTTTAGTAAGACCAAGGTTTGATCTCTCTGGCAATATACTTTAATATTATATATATTATTTAGGGCCCGGTATGGCCTCTTTATCAGCTAGTTTCTGACGTATACACTTTGGAATTTCAGAACCTATAAGTATATCAGCTGAAACTATATGGAAACTATATTGAAATTTCAGAAACTATATTGTGAAAAATCTTGCCAATGTTGTCTGGATACTCACATGTCACTTGTCACACAGTGTATAAAACAATATTTGAATAATATATTCAGTAAATAAATAACATAATTATTGAAAAAAAAACGGTCTTCCAAGTCTAGCCTTCGGGCCATTGAATTTTGATTCATTCATCTCCTTCTGAATATCACAAGCCAATTCGGAAAATCAATGGGGCGTAAAACAAATTGAAGCCACATATACATCATCACCTGGTGTCATGACACACTATTATTTGGACCACAGACACATAAAGCCAACCTGCTTCTGTCGGTTGAGGTGTGATAAGTGATATTTGACATGTCGTGTCATGTCACCTTGTCATATGCCATATCAGAGCCATATATCATATCATGAATCATATCATGTTGTTCATGTTATATCATATCATAATCATGTGACAAATGAGTCAGTCGTATCAATGTTAAAGATAGGTTAGAGTTTAAAGACTATAGATAACTATGACTATTGTTCTAACTACGACTATAACTATATAGTTATATATAACAGTCTTTGATGTGATTTGTGACCTATGGTCCATATTCTATGATATATGATTCTTTGATACGATGAAATGATATGACGTATGATTCTATTGTTTATTAAATGTTGTTCTTTGGGATTGCCTGATGTTGCAGTTTGTAGGCCTTGCGCGACTGTATGATGTGTGTTCAGTGCTTATGTTGATTCATGTCCATTCATAGGTTCATGTCAATTTCGGGGTTTGTGAAAAATAAACGAGTTTCTGGACACATGAGATGGGGTATCGCATTCGGGCCAAGATGTAAATCACTTCCATCTGGAATGTGCAGATATTTACTCAGCAACATTCTAAATCTTGACCCTGGAAACCTTAACCCTTCAGCCAATATATAAATAAATAAATAAATAAATAAATATATATATATATGTGTGTGTGTGCGTTGTTTCATGGCATTGGCCCAGCCCACCGCCCCTGATGAGCGGTTTGGTTTCGATGAAACCTAGCAAGTTTCACAAGCCCCCTGATTCTACACAGCCCCAGGGTTTCAGCATAGATCATGGCAGTTTCATTATATTCCTGTGATTCCTGTATGTTGCATGTTTTCTGATTTCTATTGAAACGAGGCTCCCAGAGACGGTCTCAGACGGTCTGAGACGGTCTCCAGCTCTCCTTCAGCCTTAAAGCCTAGCTTTATGAGATTTTCTGCGAGCCGCAGACTGGAAAGCATCATATTTTGGTTTCCTGCTTTAATCCTCACTTAATCCTCAGTTTGGAACTTCGCCCAATCCTCATTCCTCATTTTTCCGGAACCTCACCAAATCCTCATTCCTCATTTAGTCCTGATTTTGGAATCTCACCAAATCCTGATTCTTCATTTAATCCTCAGTCTGGAACCTCACCAATCCTCGTTCTCTCACCAAATCTTAGTCCCTCATTGAATCCTCCCTCATTGAATTCTCTTGCCTAGAATCTCACCAAATCCCCATCCCTCATTTAATCTTCATTCTAGAACCTCATGAAATCGTCATTCCTCAATTGATTAATCTTCTTTCTTGAGCCTCATGTAACATCCTCATCATGTATGCTTCACTATCCTCATTTCTCATTGAATCTGGATTCTGAAATTTCAAAACGCCATCACGCATTCCGTATGAATTTTGATTGTAAGTATTCACAATATATTCTATATATCATATTTCTCATGATTTTATGATTTACATCATGTTTTTAAATTTTAACATCAAAAAATATGATGACCCATGGTAGCAAAAAAAATGTGTGCTGAAACCGTCGAGACCGTTTCCTACTGTAAAAGTCATTAGGGTCAGAAACCGTCGCGACCGTTTCACACTAAACCATCCAAAAAAGTCGAAAAAACGGATATAGTCTGAGACCGTCTGAGACCGTCTGAGACCGTCTGAGACCGTCTCTGAAAAAGGCCCCGACATGTTATAGTATGAAACCGTCGAGACCGTTTCAGACTATCCCAAATCGTACTATCATGATACAGTCGGAAACCGTCAAAACCGTTTCTACAAACACCATTTTCGTGACATTGATAATACATACATACATACATACATACATACATACATACATACATATATATTGTTTTTTCATTGTTTTTCACATTGTTTTCGGGGTGTGCATTGCAGTCACGAATCATGAATCATGAATGTGAATTTGATTTTATGCCTATGTTTAATTATACTATTTGTAACCTTTCACAATCATCACCATCCCATACCATACTATGAAAACAACATGATTATAATATGATCTCTTAATACAAGTGGCCTATTTTCCCCCTGATATCTCCATATAGTTTCTATATAGTTTCTATAAAATTCCATATGGTTCCCATATAGTCTCAACTGCCAAAAATGCCCACAGACAAAGAGACCACACTTGGTTACAATATATTATATTAAATATTATATATTAAATATTATATATTAAATATTATATATTAAATATTATATATTATATATCATATATTATATATCATATGGCTTATACATTATATATTATATATTATATATTATACATTATACAGTTTATATTATATATATATTATATACTAGATATTAAATTATTAAATATTATATTTTATATATTTTATATTATGTATTGAGTATTATATATTATATATATATTATGTATTATGTATTATGTATTTTATATTATATATTATATATTATGTATTATGTATTATGTATTAAATATTATATATTAGATATTAGATATTAGATATTATACATTATATATTATATATTATATATTTTATATTATATATTATATACTATATATTATATATTATATATTATATATTATATATTATATATATATTATACATTATATATTTTATATTATATATCTTGTATATTATATATTTTATATTATATATTATATTATATATTATTATAGTATATATATATTATACATATTGATCCGAATAAAAAATAGTTTTTGATCCACTTAGATTTTTTTTGACGCCCCACTCGGATTTTTTTTGACACCGATTGACAATCATTTTTTCGATCCTTTACCCTTCCACGGCTCACATGGTGAGTAGGGGCACACAAGACACGCAAAGATGGAACCCAGTAGTTGGCGTAGTTTATGGGCGGCCCGTGTGCAAGCAACGAGGATGTTGTGTAAATTTATAGTGTCCATGACCGCAATTTCGGCATGCTTTGGGGTTGAGATAGGCGTCTGACACCAACAGGTTTAATAATTTTAAGCAGGCAAACGGCATGCAATTGCACATCTTGCACATTTTTACACCCAATGCAGCAGATTGAGTTCCAGGTTTTTCGCCCAATGTGGATTCTCCCAGATTTCCGTCGGAGGCAGCTGGCTCGCGGACATGCCATGGTCATTTCGAGTGAGGATCAGGACTGTATTCTGGTGCGCATTTGAGACGGATATGACATGAACATTTAGTAACTATGGTGAAACGAAAAAACAAAGGAATCTTCGAACTTCGAAAATGACATGGCATATATGCTTACCCAGTTTCTTTAACTCTAGATTGTTCATTTCCGACCAGCTGCAGCGTCGTTTGACTGTGGAATGCCCACGGTGGTTGGCGTCCAATGTTGGAGTAGAGTGTTGCAGTCTGTTTGCAGGGCGTTGCGCAGTATAAAGTGTAAAAAATATATATAGAGAGAACCTTTTGAACGGTGCCTTCAATTTAGTCTCAATTAAAAGGTTTTCACTATCACTTTTCCTTTGCACTCGCGGTACGTGTTGCGGCAGGTTTGCGATCACCCCTCTGTTTCACCAGGAGATCAAACATCTTCACCAGCCGCGCCTGGTGTGGAATGGGTCAGACACCAACCTTCCACCACTTCAGCGACGTACGTCCACAAATCGAATTACAGCAACCCAGGCGACCGAAAAGTCACGTGGAGTTGAAGGAAGGTCCTGTTGCAACCTGGTGCCTGACCGGGGCTTCCGTTCGAAATGGGATTTATTCATCATGCTGGCACTTCTCATTGAAATCATGTTCTTGCCGCTGCAAGTGTTGCTTGAATCTTGGTGAAGCAATCTATAGAATCGAGAGTTAAAGATTGTTACGTGGACCGGTCGTTGCATGAGATTTGCCCACCCTCCACTCACTCAAGGTACTTTTGAAAAAGTATTTTTTGGATGTGCTGAAAGGTTTGCATATTGCAAAGTGTTGCCATTTGGAGTGTATATGCATGAAAAAAATATAGAAAGCGTTGTACACACACAGACGTTTTTGTATGCCCTTTGTGCGAAGAACTCAGCTGAGGACGATCCAGTCTTAGCAGGAAGGCACACTTTCTTGCAGCTCTTGCCTCCAATTTACTGGTCCTTAGACTCTGGGCTGGCAGGTGTCGTTAGATGTTGATGCCAATGTTTTTTCTTCTGGTCCCTCCTTCTGGAAAAGCACGCCAGATCTATTGTAACCCCCTCAGAGCAGTAACGCTCCTAAGCTTTTGCTCAGTGGATTGGTTCTTTGGAGTCTGGGCGTCTCTATATGTTGGTGACATCCGACATGCCGCTGCCCATTGGGTAGTACCGGGATGTACCGGGTAGCATCTGGCAGGGTTTTCCCTGGGTGGCGGCCTCAGGACATACTAATCTCCTTCTCGACCGGCTTCTACTCCACTGGGCAGCTGGTGGTGGACCGCTGGCGTATTGCGAAGAACTATGCCACCAGGTGGCTCCTTTTCGACTTGACTTATGTGCCTTGGGCATCAGAGGCGTGAGGAATCTCAAGCAGCCTTGTGGTGTGGTTTTGTAGTTTTTTACATATTTTTGGGGTGGGGTGGGGTGGGGCAAGACCGTCATTTGCTTTGCGTTCTCACACGGATGCTGCGCTACTGTACACTCTCTTGCAGTTCCATGGATGCGTCATGCTACCTGAGCACATTTTCATATGATATGGATTGGGTGGGGTGGGTTGGGGCAAAACAGACTCCGAAGAGGTGCACAATCATAAAATTGTTGGGCTGCGTGTCTGTACGTACGTTTTCTTGTACTTTAACAGAAACGTCATGCTACGCTATTGTAATTTACCATGTCATGCTTATGGGTTTAACATGGTTTCACTACGCGCCGTTGGCCAGGTAAGAACGGTTTGTTTGTGTCTTGAAAAAGTTTGGTTGTTTTTCATATGTTGCTTTATTTCCACGCTACATCATGTTCTTCTGTATTTAACATACTTAACATACATGCTATGCTACATCATGTTCTCTTGTACTTAACACAATGAAAATTAACACATCGTTGTGGTAAAACTACATATTTTGCAACTTTAGCCTGTAATAGCCACTATCAAAGCACCACAATTTAGATGCATGTGAAAACCACTGTAACTGTGTACGACGTACATTGAAACTCACAAAATGACACGGCCGTCCGTCTACGCATCGCAGTCCTAGTAGTTTGTTGGATGTGCTCATCTCAACTCTTCAAGTTGTCGCATGAATCAGCTTCAATAGCTGGACAGGACGTGATTCAGGAACTTGGGAAGCTTCAATGTTCGGCACAGCCGCATTCCACAGTTTCAAAAAGTTACACCATCTCTCCGATTCCAGTTGTCAGATTTGTCAGTGCTACCGCTCTGTTTGGACTCGAGCCAATTGGCATCAATTTGCAAAGCCAGAATCATATCCTGAAAGAATCATATTTGTTAGGACGGACTCTTTTTTGCACTTTTAGTTGCCGATGTCCTCTTGAGTGCCGTGAGTGCTGCGCGAGGTAGCAGTTGATTTCATTCTCGTGATGCTTGTGACTTCTGAGGGCAGGTATTGGAGCCTTGGTCTAGCATTATGAGTCCAACAGCACCGAGAGTAAAGGGTTTTATAAAAAGCAAAAACAAAATCTTAAATTAGAACACCGAAGTCAAAAAAACAACAAAAACACAAAATGCAATCATTTTAATACTTGTTTTTTTTTTCCCTTGTTTTTCTTTGTTTTTATCTGGTGATTCTTCCTGTTGGGTTGTTTGTTTCTTTTGCGATTCGGTTTTTGTCTTTTTGCTAAAATCAACTTTCTCTGTTGAAGCCGGTGTTTGCCGCCCAAACAGCATGCCAGGATGTGCCACGTCCTTTAACTCCCCCAACACTAAGTTTCAGCCCATTTCGCTTGCTCTGAAGTCCGTGTTTGACTTTCCTGCTGATGCCCAAAACATTGGCATTTCAGTCTAAATTGCTACGGAAATATCAAGCATCAACATCTATTTGCGAAAGTCTCTGCCTGTTCCTTCAAGCAACTTACGAGCACCAAGGTCCCGTGAACTTACGAGCATTGCTATTCTGCGCTTCCTTCAGTGGCTTGGTGCCAGGTTCCACGCAAAGGCTGCCCGCAAGATTCCGAGGTAGATTTTGAATGATTCCTTTCGAGATTTTGATTTTGGATGGAACAACATGGAAGACTTCGATTTGCATTAGCAAATCGCAAACTTGATTCTGTCTGAGGATGGCACTTCGAGTTGTGAGAGTTTCCCGCCTTGGCGAGATGGCAGCAACCTGAAAGCATAGGGATACAGGCTGATTCAGGGTGCAGTGCATCCGTCGACCTGGGATGACCTGGGGTAATGGTCTGTTGTATTCTGTTGTCATGTTGTGATTGGACGTGATTGGACATGATTGGACCAAGGAAGCGTTGAAGAAAGGTATGGTCTCGGATGTGTCTCTGGCAAAAGCGAGTATCGTACAGACTTTTGGCAGCGTCGCATTGTCGAATGATGCGCTTTCCTGGCGTTGTTAGAAGTACATTATATAATATTACCCTCTGGTAATTTAACATAGCTATTGAACATGGCCATTTATAGTGGATTTACCCATATTGAAAATGGTGATTTTCCATAGTTATGTTAGTTTACCAGAGGGTAAAAACATCAGCTGAATGTGTTGGCTGTCCACACATGTGCCATGGTCAGATGGAAACACCATTTTGTCCTTAGGGGATGGTCACCATTTTGGAAGAGGGTTCCCAGCACGAATGGATGACCCGAAACCATACCGCTTTGCAACTAAGGATTGGGATCCAGGTCAATGCCTAAGCATCAGCGTAGGGGTTTTCTATTGTGACACTCTGCCTGAATGTTCTCCAGAAGATTTCGTCAGTGCGACTTTTCCAGACAATACAACACAAGGGATGGAGACTGTCTGCCCCAGAATATTTGTCACCTCTGCACTGTGCCAGATCCTCCTAATTCATCACGTCATGGCGTGTGGATGGTACTACTTGGGCACGATGAGTGAGGACGGCCATGGCGACCTGAAAAAATTATCGGGTTTGATTATATAATTTGTCGATTTTGAGTGATATTCAGTCGGATATTCAGGGCTTGTCCTATTTATGTCCTGCTTATATCTGCTTATGTAGTTGGGGCTGCTCCTCTGACTTTGTTTGGAGAGAATAGGGGCTCGGTGTTCACTAGTTAGCAATTGTACTGGCTGCTTAGGGGAGCTGTTTCCTTCGGGCATGGTAGTGAATCATGTTGTAGTTGTACGATGTTGTACTAATATTGTCCTCATGTGGTTCAGTGAACGTTCTATCAGCATTCTGATCATTCTGTGCTTGAGCATCACCACCCGGACAGGACGGTTGGATAGCCATTGCAGGGAAAAGCGAGAAAAGCAAGCTGTATCTCTACACCACGTCCTTGCACTGGATGTCCCTTTCTTCGAAAGTCCGTGACAGCCAAGTGGCCATTTCCAACTCTTCATTGTTAAATGCAAACAGGTGGTGATTTTGTTCCCATTCCAAAGTGCAAATCAATGCTTTCTTTGCACACACTTGAAGCAGACTTCAGGATCCATCCATATCCATCTATACTATATCCATCTACTCTTTCAATCTGAAGAAAACTTATATGCACTTATGTAGCATTGTATAATGCCTTTCTGCCAGCAAGTTGCCCTTTTGTTCCCAGGTTTTGTCAGCTTGGCTTCGGTGGGACCGAGATTGAGCCCAACACTGTCGCGGAGAGGGTCTACGGTTTCTGGGTTTCCATTGTCCACGTGTCCCTATCAGTTAGCCTATCAGCTTGCACTTCACAAGTTGAAGAATCATCCGGCTTATGAGTTGCACCATGTTGCACCCAAAAGAGTTCACAGTGCGAAGGCTTCAACATTTCTGTGTCAACTGCACCGCTAGGTTTGCTGGTGAATTTCATGGCCCTTGTGATATTTTCAACTCTCCTGGGTGCCTTGGTGCACTGCGGCACAGTCAAGCACGGTCATCACATGCACTCGGATATTGAATCCCATTATAGGAGTTGCGCGGCCGTTCTTTGCAGGGTCAGAACTGTTCAGATATGATGTTCAAAACAACGACTTAAAAGTGAAGAATATTCAAAGTCCTTTCACATTTTGCCACCCTCTTTAAGCTGTCTGGGGAATCTCATTCTATATACTGTAATTATTCCATGCCCTTGAAGGCCTACAATCTACAAAGAGATCTCAATAGTAGGGCTACCGCCCTGGTGCCGCCGACCCCCCTTTATGGTGGGCATGGCAGTGGAAAGAAAGGAGCATGGCGACAGAAGCCAAAAATAAGTTTAATATGTATATGTGTATATAGAAAGATCGATAGATAGATTAGAGCAGATTAGATTAGACTAGACTAGATTAGATTAGATAGTAGATAGATAGATAGATCGATAGATCGATAAGAATGCCAAGAGCAGCCCCAAGCTCGGGAAAAAGCACCCTTCGCCACGCTTTGACAGCATGGCAGTGAAGGACGGAAGGCTTCTCGAAGGACCAGGACGTGGCCCATTTGCTGGCTTTGAAACGTCTATAGGACACGGTTCAAAGGCCACCCAAAAGGCTCAAAAACGTCTGTTTTGCCACACCGAAACGGCATGGCATTGCGGGACAGATCGTGCCTTCGAAGGGCAGCTGAACGGCCTGTCAGTGAAGGAGAACAGGGCGCTGCTGATGCTTCGCTGTCTCGGGCGCCTCCCCCCTGCAATGGCAAGGGCAAGGGTCGGCGGATATGAAATAGGTATAAACATGGTAAAAACATGTCACGACGCTGCACACCCGTGCTCCGAATTTTCTTGAAGTGATACTAATGCAAGGGCAAGTATCAGCTTTCGATCGTCACCACCAGCACATGACAGCACACAACAACACATAACAGCACATCAGTATTCTCATTCCTTTTCCCAAAGAATTGAATCCGTTGCCCTGGTCCAATACGCAGCTGGACGTCAGGAACCGTTACAAGCCTTGCAGCCCTGCTGAATCGAAGCAGCGAAGAACGTCGTTTTCTGTTTGCAAATCTGGGCCGCTTTCTGAAGTACAACCAGATTGACAAGGCGAGGGCAGATCTGGGAAGGGCCAGGCTGCAGCCAGATAAAATCGGACCGGGGCATTGGATGGCACTGGATGGCTCTGGGGCGGACGAGTGCCAGGAATTGGGCGACCGCATCACCCACTTCTTGCAGCACGCGTATGCCTTGAAGCAACTCCACGTCCACGAGGCGATTCAAAACTCTCAACTTTTCAAAGGTGGTGCATGTGGTGGGCGGATGTGACGGTCACATGAAGTCACGATATGTCACAAAATTCATGAAGTCACTTGTACCAGTCACATGAGCTATACATAGTCATATGGGCCATATGGGTTCAAATGGTTCCCAAGAGTATAAAAGTGCTCGGACCAGTTTCCAAATGTACGCTACCTGGCAGAATGATTTCACACCAAATGCCTCATCGAGTCAAAGCCTGCAAGGACCAAGTCCAACTATTTGACCTCCTGCCTCTTGGCCACATCTGGATATTCCAAGCTTTTTCAGCACATCCATTTGCTTGTTGGCTGTGAGATTTGGAGAGAAAGGGTGATTGATTGTGTTCCTTAAGTCTCCGATTTGCACACACACACACATATACACACATATATACAAAAAATATTAGCATGTCTCTCTACCATGTTTTTGGGCTATCTCTTTAGGCGCTGTTTTGCAATTTTTGTCCCTATCTTTTGGGAATTTTTGCCCCTCTTTTTGAGAAATTGTTGTCCCTATTGTTTGGGAATTTTTGTCCCTCTTGTCTGGGAATTTTTGTCACTCTTTTTTGGGAATTTTTGTCCCTCTTGTTTGGGAATTTTTGTCCCTCTTGTTTAGGATTTTTTGTACCTCTTTTTTTTTTTTTGTTTTTTTGTCCCCCTTGGGGGTTTGGGAATTTGTGTCCCTCTTTTTTGGGGATTTCTGTACCTTTTTTTTTGGAATGTGTGTCCCTCTTTTTTTGGATTTTTTGTCCCTCTTTTTTTTTTTTGAATTTTTGTCGCTCTTTTTTGGGAGTTTTTGCCACTATTTTTTAGTTTTTTTGTCGCTATTGTTTGGGATTTTTTGCCCCTCTTGTCTGGGAATTTTTGTCATTTATGTATTATATTTCATTTTCTTATTTTATATAATATTTCATTATATTATTTTATACTTGATTACTTCATATTATATTGTATTAATCTATATCTCATTTTCTTATTATATTATTTTATGTCAAATCATGTCAAATCATGTCAAATTTTCAAAATTTTATTCATTATATTATCCTTTAATATATTATATATTTTTGTATTGTATTATTTTATTATATTATATTTGATTATTTTATCTTACCTCTTTGCCTTTTATTTTATTACATTATGTTTTCTTTTTTTATATAACATTTTGTTAAATTATTAAAAATTCTTATGCTATTGTATATTGTATATTGTATCGTATTAATTATATAATATTATTTAATATTGCAATATTATATGATATGATATTATATTATATTTTATTATTCTATTTTACCCACACACACACACGCTTGCATAGTACAATTGGATGTATCTTTCCTTCAGTTGGTGCATCTCGCTGCGTCTTGGCGCGTCACGGCGCGTTGGACGCGAGTTTCTGAAGGTCGGTGCCTTTGTGTCGTGAGCTCCAGCTGGCGCGGTACAAGAAGAGTTTAACAGCGGAGTAAGGATGGCATATGATGGCATATGATGGCATATGATGGCATGGTGTTGAGGGGTAACGAGTCCCTGTTTGGGGCATTCGTTTGCACGCGGTTCAATGCAGACTTCAATGTTAATTCCAAGGCGACCCGTATTTCTTATTCCCCACCTGCCAGGTGAGGGTTGTTAGATTTTATCAGAGCTGTTCTCCTCCTCCTCCGCCTCCGCATCCTCCTCCTCCTCGTCCTCCTCCGCCTCCTCCTCGCAGTCCAGATCCCAGTGGGCACTGCCGGACTTCAACGGGAAGAAAAGATGTCAGATAGAATGTCAGAAGATATGCCAGATAGAATGCCAGAAAAAATGTCAGAAGATATGCCAGATAAAATGTCAGATAGAATGCCAGAAGATATGCCAGATAGAATGCCAGAAGATTTGCCAGTTAGAATGCCAGAAGATATGCCAGAAGATATGCCAGAACATATGCCAGAAGATATGCCAGATAGAATGCCAGATAGAATGCCAGAAGATATGTCAGATAGAATGCCAGAAGATTTGCCAGATAGAATGCCAGAAGATTTGCCAGAAGATATGCCAGAACATATGCCAGAAGATATGCCAGATAGAATGCCAGAAGATATGCCAGATAGAATGCCAGAAGATATGTCAGATAGAATGCCAGAAGATTTGCCAGTAAGAAAATGTATAAATGTCATGGTGGGGATCATTCGAAGTGAAGTAACTCTTTTCAGGAAACCTGCCTGACATGCGCTTGAAATCATGTAATTTCACAGAAAAAATGAAATAAACACTTCAAGACCACTCTTGGGATCTTTTGTGCACATGGTATCACATGGTCCCATCGTGCTGGATTGTGACCTGTGAGGAGATGGGGTTCCTGCTGCGCCTAGGCACATCGGTTTGGAGGTGGATGGGTATTGGTCGTATTGGTCGTATTGCTGCGTGTTTCTTTTTTGTGTCAGATAGGGAAAACGGCAGAAGATGAGCCAGGGCCAGAGATGGCCAGAGTGAAGGATCATGAAGTGTTTCTTTGGAGCAGGAACCCCGACGAGAACGACTTTCTCATCCAGCGGATTGCAAGCAAGGTGCGGGCTGCCGAGGGCGATTGCCGAGGGCGATCAGGATACAGTGTCCAGATCCGAACTCTGAATCTAAGACATTCTAAGACCTGATCAAGCGACTCAAGTGTTGCGCGCTATCCCACCATCCACCAACAATGCCCTGATCCGAATGCTGAGCAGCAAGTTCGAGCAGTGCATGGTTGTTTCATGTTGTTTCGTTCAGCCATGCTGTTGCTGTCAGGCAGTCTCCCAGCAGAAATTCGCGACCTCTGATTTGGTTTGGGAGACGGAGACCAGTGGAACCGAGGTGGCCATGGGCCATGGGCATCAGTGGGTCTGATGGTCCACTGTGAGTTCATGTTTTCCATATTTTGGTGATTTTGCCAGGCCATCTACCTTATGGAAGGTGCCCTGCACTATCAGCTTGGCAATTTCGAGGCAGCGTAGTGAAATTCTTCTGGTGCGCATCAGAGGTTAGAGCCGAAGGAAACACGACATGTGTTATTCGAGTTGATTCGACATGTTGGATATGTTGGTTTCTTGCTGCAAGCTATCCAGAACAGAACGCACACCGTGTGGAAACTTGTGCGGGAATGTGTTTTGCTCTGTCTGAGACTTGATTCTGCCACAGGCAGATGTGAATCAATCGCGCTGGATGGCGGATATGTGCTTGTGGGCACCGTGGGTATATCTAGGGGATGCATCCACCAAGGAGCCTTACTTGTACCGTTGTATCATTTCCATCAATTTGTATTCGTGCTCTGAGCTTTTCAATCGAATTTTGGCAGTTGCACAAAATGCATGGTGAGGCTGTATGTTGTTTATTTTTTGGCCTGAATCAGGAACCTTCAGGTGTAGTGCTGGTGCATGTCCGGCAATTTTATGAGAGTATCCGTGACTGCAATCAAATGAGTCTTGCATGCACTGCTTGTGTCAGAGCACCTGCGGGCAGAGCATATTGCTCCATTTGCTCCAAGTCCACGCGGACATGCATCTTGACGTCCCCTTTTCCATGCCAAGGACAGTTGCGAGAGAATATGCCAGAGAGTACGTGGATGAAACTTGGAGGGTATAAGATGGTATAAGCACGTGCGTTGAACACTTGCTACAGCCAGAGACAGTGGCTGAAGTGACTATTGCGAACGTAGTGAGAGTATAGGGATGTATAGGCAGTATAGGGATGTATAGATATGTATAGGGGGTTTGGGGGGGTAGCGGCTTCCCAAGGTCTTTAGGATGGCCCGGAGGAGTCTTTTGCAGGGTCATGTGCCGGCAATTTGATGATGAGGGGTGTTCGATTCGTCCCTGGTCCCGTTGGTGGGCTTTCCTGTGGACCAACTGGAAGAACAAAAAGCATAACAGATGTGATGTAACACACAGAGAGGCGAGAAAGACGAGGGAAGGAACAATGGTAGGAAGAAGAGTGAACAAGCAGCAGAATAAAAGAACAAGTTAGACCTGAACAAAAGAGACGGTTGGACTGAAGAAATTGAGAAAGACCAGGAAGAAGAAAATACGGTGAAGTATCACGTAGGATGTAGGGTTTCAGAGCATATAGCACGAATAACTCAAAAATGGCAAGAAGAAGCAGCAGAATGAAGGTTGGACCAGAACATTGTTGAATGTTTTTTATCCTTTTCCAGTTGGTTTTGGCATATTTGGACAGCAAAAAATGCGAGGAGAGACTCATAGTCAAGTGGCCAAGTCTCACTAACGCATTCCGAAACTCATTCGGCTGGAAAAACCCTGGCTTTCGTTCTCATCTTCTCGGGTGAGCATTTCTCAGCATCACTATGATTTCGACGGAATGAATCATGGATCATGTTGGTCCCAAGTGGCACCCAGGGTGTCACCAGATGCACCCTGCGTCAGGAAATGAATCGCCATGATGCTGTGACAGAACTTTGGCACTGCCCGGCGGGTGAGCAACAACCAGAGCGGGTCGGGTCACTCTTTCACTACAGCCTCAGTGCCCCAGCGGTTACTATTTGTGAACGACTGTGCTTTGCACTGCAGAGACGCGTACCTTTTTCACGCGTGGTGCCGCACTAGTTCGGTGGGGCAACGGTTCCAGACAATTGTTTCAAAAGAAACGCCTTTGGTGGGTATGCTTGGCGCATGCTGAGGGTTTGGATTGTTTGCATCATGGATTGTTGCACCTTTCTTTTTAGCTCTTTTGAACTAGTCCAGCTATCAAAGATGCTTCAGCCGATGCTCGTGTTTGAAGAAACCAACCCTGGCTCCCAGCGTTGGCAGTACGATGCCGAAGGGTTTGCTTCCAGCCAAGTTGGCAACAAATGGTATCGAAGGGCATTGATCTTGGCACAAAACTGTTTCAACATGACGCGTGTCACTATGAAGTATGTGTCACTGCTGGAAGTTAACTCGATGCCATCTGCAATTTTTAAAGGATAAGATCCATCCAGATCCATCCAGATCCATCGGGAGAGGCTGCGCCCGGTGATTTCTTGACTCGTCACTCGTCCAATCTCGGACGTGGCCGTGACGACTGTCACCATGTGGCACTATCAAGCGTTGAGCCGTTAGCAGCAATGTTCCGCGTTCTACGTGGATGCATCATTTTGAATCATTTGCGGTGACCCCCCCGTGTTTTAAGACGCTGACATAGCGATTCCCCTAGCCAGTCGCTAGCTTGGATTTTCCTCGCCAAAGGCCGCCGTAGGCAAATCAATAACACCGACCGCTCAACCCGGTCTTGAGAGCTACTTGCAAGAGTCATCCAGCGAAACACAAGGTGCTTCCTGGAAATCTGAACATATCTGAACCATTTGGCCCTTGAGTAATTTAGCAGTGCCCCACCCTGCAATTCTTGGCATATAAGAAAGGAAAGGGTGCCGTATGGTGCCGTGCTGTCCTCCAGCATAGAGCCTAACTTCATGGAGCAACTCAATGCAATGCCATTCTCGATGGCTTTCAGGTGCATTCGAAGCAAAGAAATAAACTCCTCAGAGTGGGTTTTGCGGGAGTTGGTTCAGTTGTCGAATGACACGTGCCAACTGTTTGCGCAGATAAGTTTCACTTCAAGACCCCATGTTTCGGCAGCGGCTCTGGTTCTAGACTGCCCAAAAAGTGCGGATGTTGTCCGACATCAGGTGCCATCCAGCTCATGATCACAGTGGCAACGATGAAAAGGTAATTCATGGCATTGCCGAAGTATTTAGTCCTATGATGTCGTATGCAACTACACGTCACAAGAAGAATGGAGTAGTGTCATGTATGGAATGCTGTATTTCTATGTATTTCTAAATTGCATGGCATGGAATCATATGGTGTGGATGTGGGATGGCATTACAGTCGATGTAATGTAGAGATATGTAGAGTATGCATTGTGTGTGAACAGCACTGCCTGTTGTGCAATGCATGTAATTTCATGTAATCTCATGTAATCGTAAGGGTCGAGCTGTACAGATTACTGCAGTGTACCGAAATGCCTGGCAATGCAACAAAATGCAGTGTAGCGCAAAGTCATGAAAAGTACAAGGTCTTTGTGCTTCTATGACTTGCATGTTGTGACATGCATGTTGTATCGAGTGATTTAACGTTTTGTATACGTTTTGTATTTTGTTGCTGTGATGTTATGTGATCTGGTGCTGTGCAGTTCAGTGAGATGCAGTTGAAAGATAATAGACTGCACTGTACTGCATTGTGATGTGATGTGTGCGTGTACATAACGACGCGGTAACAGGGGTAGACAAGGAGATAAGGGTGAAGAAAGGTATGTCAGCAAGTACACAGCGCGGTGAATTGCAGTTTTGTGCAATCCAATGCAAGGTCCTGTGCCAGTATGCAATGCGAAGGACACGATGCACTTCATGCAGCGTCATGAAATGTGATGTGTGCGCAGCAGTGCAATGTAGCTTATGTGACTTAAGTGCATGCATGTATCGCGCCGCCAAGACGGAATTTATGCCTACAATGCCATATCATGAAATGCACTGCAATACAATGCTGTGCCGTACTGAAATGCAGTAACAGTATAATATAATATAATATAATATAATACAATATAATATAATATAATATAATAATATATATATATAGTATAATATATAATGTATACTATAGTAGGATCTAGTGCAGTCTAATGTAATGCGTATGCAGTATGCATGAAATTACTACAGTATCCGCAATCAGTTTGGCGGTTAAACCTCTGTTTGAGGTTGGTACTACGACACGGAGGGTGGCAAGTTCCACAGGGAGGATGAACGAGATGCTTTACGGACTCGCGGCTGAGAAAATGAGACGAATTCGTTAAGCGAATCCCATCAGTCTTCGTTGGAAACTCAGGAAATTGGAGAGGATATCGCAGTGATATTTGTGCTGACAGAAAGATGTTGACATTTACTGCGTAAACTTGGCGTAGTAAACTTGCAACATCTTTCAACCATGTCTTGAGATGAGCAGTGTGCTCGTAACTCCAAGCGTCTCTTGTTGCCTCTTGGCTCTAGCCGGGGTATGGGGAACCCTGTGGGGGACCCCGTTGAAACGTGTGCCTGGCTTGTGCTGCTTCGCTTGCAGGTTGAACAGTGCTGGTCATACATGTCCTGTAACATACCTTAACATGCAAATGCACACAGACACACGCGCTACGTATAGGGTTGCAATGGATTGCATATCGGCTCATATGGGTATGTTTTACGACTCAACTTAGATTTTTGATGATTATTGGGTGATTTACTGTCTTGGTTCTTCGGCTGAGACTTCATTTGAACATATAATACGCACTTTGAGCATCTTTGAAGATGGTTGGGGCTGGGAGGGGAATTCGTGAAGCGTTGCAGACCACCCGACTCACGCCAATATCGACCCTACTCACTCGCACGTGGCCGTACGGGCCTCAGGCTGGAATGGGGAGAGTTGTGAGAAGGGTGCATTCAAAAAATGGGGAGAGTTTCGGTCCAGATATCTTAAATCCACCATCATCCATCCTCAAAGTTTTTAAGACTTACAGTTTGGACCATTTTGGGTTATAGCCAAATCACCTCATCCAACTCCACCACTCCACTTAGCTCACTTGGCTCGCCAAGGTATTTAGCATTGGCCCTAAACGCGTGCGCGTTCATTTATTCGGCTTAGCGAAAGCATGCAGCAGCACATTGGCAGCAATGCAGTGGGTCAAAGACCAGTGAACGCCAAAATATTTGGAAATCTAATGAGACTACGGGGCTCTACAGTACTACCAGTTTTGATGGCAATGGTGTGTCAGATTGTACTTAAAAATTATAGTTTATTGTAGTCAGCACCACATGATGGGGACGTTTGCCGAATCCCCATTGGCTGTGTCAAGAGTCTACAGATTGAGCAGATACATAAGGCTGTCACAAGGTCCAGTTCCTTCACCTTTCTGGCATCAAACAGAGTGACCCACTAAGGAACAAAGATACCCGCGTCAGGACCCCAGTCAACTGCTGAAGTCCAGCCCTGCCAAAGTGCACGGTTGCAGACGGTCGCAGACGGTCGCAGACGGTCGCAGATGGCAGTTGCAAACTGAGGCTGGTGCTTCGCGTTCGGAAGCCAAGCCGGTAAATCAGCATAGGGCGTGGCTAAGCCGACAGCCGAATACCGGTCGGTGAATTTTAGCAGGTCAAAATATTCAATGCATTCCAGAAAGGTGGAAGGATCAGGACTTGCCCTTTTGTAGCTGGGGGCTTCCAAGGCCGTGCGGGGCACCAGGAGGTGCACTTCATATCGGCCCAGACCCCGATGGATTCCCCGTGGGAATTTTCATGTTGAATGATGTGTTTAATGTGTTTGGGATAGATTTATATAGATTTTCTGTTGCTAAATCCCACGAAGTCCAATATTCATCAATATTCAATAAAGAGCAGAGATGTCGAGTCAACATGGATCAACCAGATCAGAGATGCACAACTTCTCGGAGGATAGGTCAGACATGGTCAGAGGTCGGAGAGGTCGGACATCGAATTTCATGCACCATGCAGCTCCTACAGTTAGTAGAGATATGTTGATATCAGTAGTGAAGTTGCTGCCCATTTTTGCCCATTCGCCTGCTATCCTGAGATATGTGCTGAGGCCCATCTTCCAATTTCTTGGGGTCTCTTAGTCAGTTGTTGGAGCCTAAGCGCAATGGATTGCTATCCAGACCCACGTGTGCCAGTCGGATGCTTGTTCAAATTTTGGGGCGGTGTGGTATTCTTATGGGGGATGTTAGCGGCTAAATGGCTAAATCCTCCTCACTGGAAAACACACATTATTCTGGGGATTGTTGTGATGTCACCCGATGTTCTTTTGGAGGGATGTGCAACCATGTGCAACCATTAAAATCATGTCCTGCTGGCAGAGTGGCCGAGGCATAGCTAGTGCATCCGCCTTGTCGGCTCACCTGGAGGGCGACAGGAATTGCGTTTGTGAAAGGATGACGAGCCGTGAGCCATTAAATAAATTTTAGTTATATAAAAATTTATTTTTTAAATAAATAAATAAATACATTAAATAAATATATATATATATGCGCAAATCTTATAATACACTCTTCTAGACAACCCAAGCACCGTCCTGGCCTTATCTTTCTCTTCTTGGTTAGTCAAAATCAGGATGGGCATGTAGCGACATCGGAAAACGGCGCCGAAAGGACCAGCACCTAAATGGAAACAGAACAACCCAGGAAATCCCAGGAACCAACGTCGTTTTGCAATGTTTTTCCGGTCTTTTTGCTAACATTTTTTTTTTTAAGGCAACAATTTTCCGGCTCGAACACATCCCAGTCCGTCTTGTGTTGTGTGTTCACAATGGCCGGCCTATCAACTCAAGAGTTTTTAAATTGCACACGTTCACCTTTAGAAATTGTCGAAGCTGATCTCCAAATCAAGGCCGATCTTGGTTCCCGTGACGCCCGGGTCTTCTTTTTTTTGTCTTGTCACAAGTCTTCTGGCAAAATATAAAATCAGGTGCCAGATTAGTTTTGAGGATCATGTAGTGCATGAGTAACCATAATGGAAAAATACCCGCAGTCCAGGCTCAGGTGATGAATGTCCACATGGTACGTTTTTATTGTAAGAATTTATGCATGTGCAAGTGGTGTCATGGCTGACACTTGCGCGCAGGTGCTATGTTAGTTTCCTTGGGTTCCTGTGGTGCGTGAGACTCCATGGTAAACAAAAGGGCTCACGGTCCAGACTCAACCCAAAATTGTCCAAATGGCGCATTTTATCTGTTAAGTGCAAAAGAAAAGTAGGATCCCAAATCTATGCAGATCCAAGCTGACATTGTGTTTTTGCTATGTCCCCTTTCCCTGGCAAAATATTCACCAAGATGCTATGTTAGTCTTCGGGGTCCTGTGGCGCATGAGATTCCATGTTGCGCAAAAAGGCCCACAGCCTGGACCTAATCCAGAAGTTGCAAAGGAAAAACAAATCCCACACCCAGAAGCAAATCCACGTGTTTTTGGTTTCCATTTTGTGTGCTTTTGTTTTGGCCTTCGCCCAGGTAGTTTTCAATCCACCTTTTTGTTTGTGTGCTTTCCGAAAATATACTTAGATGCCAGCTTAGCTTTTGGAGTCATGTGGTGCATGAGGGACAGACTCGACCCATACATGCCCAAATGGTGCATTTGTAACTTGAGAAGTTGTAGGTGTCATGTGCTGACATTTGCAGGCAGGTGCTATGTTTGTTTGTGGGGCCCTCTGGTGCGTGAGACTCTGTGGTAACAAAAGGGCCCTAAATTGTCCAAATGGCATCAAATGGCACAATTAGTCTTTTTTAGAAGTTGTAGAAGACAAATTGGATCCCCAAACGACACACAAATCTTCGTTTCTGTCTTTGTGTGTTTTGTTACGTCTACCCGAGTCTACCCCTGGCAAAGTATCCACACAGGTGCTATGTTAATTTCTTGGGTCCTGTGCTGCACGAGACTCCATGGTAAACAAAAGGGCCCAGTCGAGACACAACCCATGTGTGTCCAAATTACAGCACATTCTTACCTTTAGAAGTTGTGAAGGAAAAGTCGATCCCAAATCCATTCCCATCCACGTTTTATTCTTGTATGTCATGTCCTGTTTGCCCCTTAGTTTTCGCGGATTCCCTGGTACAAAATGGCCCACAGTGCAGTCTCCATTTGCTTCATTTTCACTTTTTTACATTTAGGAAGTTGTCAAGGAAAAAAAGATATGCAACTCGATAAAAACAGTTTTTGTTATTTGCTCATTATTTGGTCAGTTCTTGTTCCCTCCAGGGCCCACAGTCCAGACTCAAACCACAGAATGTTCAAACGGCACATGTTTTCATTTTTAAAAGTTGTAGAAGAAACATTGGCTTTGCAAGCAGGTGCTATATAGATTGGTTTTCGGGGTCCTGTTCGAAAACTGAACCATGTCTGAGACAAAAACACTTTTGCCATGCTTTGTGAAAGGGCTTGTATTGGCTCAATGGTGGGGCTCAATACGAGCAGGTGCCTGGTTGGTAAGATTTTGGGGATAAAAAGACAAACCTAGCACCCTGCTCATGCCTAAAATTGGATGAATTACATCAGGTATTCCCCGGGGAAAACATCTTCGAAAGTAGGTTGATTTCTGTGCCACTGTAAGTTATCCTAAACCCCTCATGTTGCAAGAAAAAAAGTGACCATTGTTTCCCCAGGGATGCTCCTGTCTAGAGTCTATTCTTGGCCTGGTTTGTTCTTAGATAACTTGATGTCGGACCCTCGCTTGTTGAGAAGAGAATATATATATACATAACATATTATATTATATTATATTATGTTATGTTATATTATATTATATTATTTTATATTATATTATATTATATTTCTATTTTACTATATTATTTTATATTTTACTATATTATATTGTATTATATTATATTATATTATGTTATACTATATTATATTATATTATATTTTACTATATTATATTATATTTTACTATATTATATTGTATTATATTATATTATATTATGTTATACTATATTATATTATATTATATTTTACTATATTAAATTATATTATATTACATTATATTATATTATATTGTATTATATTTTCCTATATTATATTACATTATATTATATTATATTATAATATAATATCATATTATATTATATTATATTAATAATATTATATTATATTATATTATATTATAAATTGTATATAATATATTATATATTATATATTTTATATTTTATATTATACATTATATATTCTATATTTTATATATAATATAATATAATATAATATATAATATAATATAATATAATATATAATATAATATATAATATAATATAATATATAATATATAATATATAATATATAATATATAATATATAGTATATAATATATAATATATAATATATAGTATATAATATATTATATATATATGCATGTAGCGCGTTTTAGCCAAACCATAGCGACCCTGTTGGTCAGCTTTTCCTCCCCGGCTAAGGCCACATGCGCAGACTTTGATTCGACACTTTGAGGCCAAGTGGTTTATTGTGCCGTGTGGTAACCGCAGACGCCACAGGACAAGCATTGAAATAGGTTGAAAACATGGTTGAAATATGTTGAAATGGTATTCTACATCAGACTGTCAAGGCATGATGGAAAATCGGGAAGTAACATGGCGGCATTTTTTCCTTGATTTAATGGCTATGCCATGCCAGGCCCAACAAGGTCGAACACACAAGGTGCGATGAGAGTCATTTATGGCAGCCCAGGGTGTCACAGTCACTGTGAATCAGATACCTTCTTTGAGTCCACCTTGTACGGAAACAAACCGGCACAGCTTGGCAGTCTGGTTTTGTATTGATTTGTATTGAATGGTTGAGAGGCCTTCCTCGACAATCCCAGTTTGTATAAATGGCATGAAATAGCCACATCCAGGGCGGAATTCTCATCGCCCTGTCTGAGAACAAGCTGAAAAGCTTTGGCCACAAGTGCGACTTGGCTACCATCCAGTTGTGCAGCGTCAGCAATCCACGGGCGCATGCTGTACGCACCAAGACAGAGGGAGAATCGGAGAAGGGATGTTCAGAAATTGTGGAATGAAGCTTCACAATGCTTCACATGTCGTTTCCCTTATGGATTTCCAGCGGTTGGCCAGCCGCCCAGCCCCAAGGTTCTCTCTTTGCGTTGAATTTGCGACTCTCAATCCACTTTCCACTTTCTATGGGGAGATAAAATAGATAAACTCACTGCGCATTTGGCTGAGGTGATGATGATGAATGCCGGCAGAAGGAGAAAGCTGATGGAGGCCTTCGGCATCCTTTGGCATCCTTCGGCCAACCGCTTGATGTCTGAGATGTGTTCTGTTTGCTGTGAACATCGTATCAGGTCCTAACATATCCTAACGGTCTAACATGGTCTAACGTTTCACTGGGCATGGCGTCGTTATCACACATGATGCCAACTCCAGCTATGCTCGGCTTTTTCTTGACCTTGAAAGCGGCAAACTTGCAGATCTTTGATCTTCTCTGCCTGCATTTTCAGTGTTGACAGGTGCCATCGAAGGCGCACAAGTTCCTAGCTTCTTCCAGTCTGGTTCGCAAGGGTGCTCAGTCTCGGAATTGGAACATGCCATTGAGAAACAGATATAACTTCAGCACTGGAAACTGCAATTCTCGTTGGTGATCTTATTGTCAAACAACATGAAAGGCATATCAAAGGCATATCCAATGCAGCGTCAGTGTTTCGGCCATTGCCAAGGTCAGTGCAGCCCAAGGCGGTGGACGCCGGTGCCGAAGGAACCGAAGGAACTGAGGTCCTGGAAGCACCTGCGCCGACTGCGGCAACCATGACAGAAGTCTTTCCAGAGGTTCCCAGGGCTTGGGCTTCCAACATAGACATACAGTAACTATCAGTAACTATCAGTAACTATCAGTAACTATCATCCGAACATATCACGATTTTAATACAATCTCATATATAGTCTCATAGTAATCTAATGACTCGCTGTATAACTTTTACAACTTACAACATCTTACAACATTTTCCACTCAGAAGAAAGAAACAAGTGGTGTGTACAGAAGGTGCATCCATGGGCATCCCACCTCGTAATTGATGTGGGGGATCATAAACCCTTTCATACGTCGACATATTGGCACAAAATTATGGAAGATGTTCAGCCCAGCCTGTTGATCTAGTTGGGACTATGATATGTGATGTGGACATATGTGGACCAACTCTGAGTTTCCAAAAGGCTCCACACAGAAAGGAGGTTTGAAGACATGCCACGTGTGTACGAAACCTGCTAACCTCTTCAGCTCAAAAGACGCAGAAGGGCGGTCACTGCGAGGGAAAGCAATTTTGCCGATTCGCATTTTCTCTGACATGGCAGTGCGTCCACAGGCTGTTGAGGACGGGCCTTGCTGCATTGCTTTCCCAAATCCCACTTCCTGAGAAATATATAGAAATATATAGAAATATATAGAAATATCATTTCTTCCAAGCGCGGCGAAAGGTTCGCGACAGGTTTGAATGCCACTATTTATAGGAAACATGCACACGAAAACATGGTCATAATTCCCTGTCCTAATTCCGCTGGGACGCGAAAGGGCGCGAAAGGGTCGCGAAAGCGCGGGTAAGGGCATTTTGAACAACCCCCATGTAACTTCACCAATCTTCACCACCCAGGACTGGTGCCACTTGATGCCCAATTTGTTGGAGCAGGAGGGCTGGACTACCGCATTGGCAACAGAAGAGGCATCCCTGACACACAGCTGTTGCCCTTGGGGCCCCTTGGCAGCACAGTGACTGCGCGCTGCGGTTGCCGGTTACAGCGGTGGATTGAGGTGGTCACCTCATCAGGTTTGAGCTCAAGAACATCCACGCGGCTGGGATGGAATTGGATCAAGGGATATCAGGATTATCAAGGACTTACCAAGGACATCCAAGGACTTATCAAGAGATCGTGGAATAGAAGGATTTTGTATGACTCGTGGCTTTGTCTTCGAAACATTGCATTTCCAAAAACCAGTGCTTTCCTATCAAAATCCAACCATCCGTTAAAAATTGATCGTTAGAAGACGTTGGAAGAGCCTTGTACAGAGGAGCGGTCCACCACTTACGAGACATCTCAATGTGCAATGCGCGTCAATGCGCCAAGGTGCAAGATGCCCCCGAGAAGACTGGCAACATCATGGTGAGACCAGAGGTACGATCCCTGCTTCATCAAGAGCTCCCTGGATGCCCTGGATAAGGTGACAGATCGGATAGATTCGACAGGTCAACGAACTTGTTTGTCTTTCCCTAGTTGATGAATAGTGAGGTGATCCCCCATTGAACAAGTAATAAGTGAATTACACTATGGTGAGAGATATGGTGAGATATTCACATTAGATAATGGTGAATTACAATTACAATAGTTACAATGAATGAACATGGCAAACCATCCTGTGTTTATGATATGTTATATATAATATATAATATAATACATAATATAATACATAATATAATATAATATAATATAGTATAGTATAATATAATATAAGATAAGATAATATAATATAATATAATAATATATATATATGTATGTGTGTTTTATATGTTTCCTCCATATTTTCCCAAAGGGTTGACATCCCCAAGGTTGACATCGTCACGACATCCCCATGGCAGTCGTCCAAGGTTTCCCATCAACGGCATCCGTGTTGAATCCATGGAGGTGAAAGGCCCTGGCGAAGCCGTCGTCCAGGAGAGAACCGCTTGACCAAAGCGGAAAAAAATGAAGGTTTAATGGTGGTTTATGGTGGTTTAATGGTGGTTTAATAGTGGTTAATAGTGGTTAATACTGGGTTAATCATAGTTAATACTGGGTTAATGATGGTTAATGATGGATAATATGGGAAGATTTTTATGAAGATAGGAACAGATATTTTGTGACTTCACTGGATGATTTTCCTCAAAACTGTGAGCTTTCTCCCAGGGCTCAATGTCTTGGAGCGTGGTGCGTCTCTGTGGAGTGCTGTTTGGGGACATGGGGAGCCAGGCAGCTTGGGCAGAGTTTCCACCAGTATTTGATCGATTTTTATACGTAGACTAATAGTCGTATTATAAGATCTATAATATAAGTCTAATGATATAGTATACCTTATAATACCTATATTAATAGTATATATATATATAAAGATATATATATATATAAGTATATCCTGAGGACCTGTTACCCAGGTACCCGCGTTTCCCCGTGCAATACCTGGTTTATCAGCTTGATGATCATCCAAAAACGGGACAAATGTCGATGCCAATTTTCCCGGTGATCAGCCCATTTTCAGATGGCCAGCGAGGTAATGAACTATTTCTTCCATGACCCAGACAGTGAGGTGTCATGGCACCAAAAGGCGCGCTGCCATTGGCTGCACCAAAATCATGTCAGCAGTTGGTACTATACTCTTTCGGTCAAACACCAATTTTCTGCAGATAATGTTCCCAGTTTCTGCACATTTCTGCGCCCATGGGTTGTGGTTGGAACACTGTTTGAACCACCGTGCAGTTGCGCCGTGACTATCCTCGCCACGGTGACAGCGCCTGCGCGTTTTGGATGGAAGATGGAAGGCCGCAGGAGTGTGCCTCTTGGCTGACGAAAGTCTGGACAATCCCTCATGCTGCAAGTAGTTGTTGAGCCAAGGCTTAATGGTTTAGATTCCTGGAGTAATCAGCCCATTCTCTCAGTTTCGCTCTGAAATGGGGACTGCAAGCTGCAAAGTAATTGATAGTATGTACCTTGGCAGATAGTGAACCCTTGACTGACTATATGACTATAAAACATCATAAGTTGAATACTTTTGGTGCTTCCATTTTATACCCTTTGATTTTGCCTGCCTGGATTATGCAGCTGTGTCGATCAGGTCATGCTTGTGCGGCCCCAAGCAGAGAAAGACAAGTTCACAGCCTTCGTGGTAGCCCGGGTGCGCCCCAGAGATGCAGGCGCGTCCAGCTGTACGTTCCTGATGCAAACTGAATCCAAACAGTTTTGACTTGAGTGCTTGAACGCAGCCCGCTCCCCTCTCTCTTTAATCCTTCATGCTCCCCTCATTCATCGTATGTTCTCCGACCTTAGAATCAAAATCTCCGGGAGGTTTTCTCCCCCCATCCTCCCTCGCTTGGTGTGGCAACGTCCCAAAGTCAAAGATGTCGCTTCAGGTGCCGGAGGGACGCTTTGCCAACTGGGCCAGCTCACACTTCAGTCCCTTGGCCTATCGGAACCAATTCTTAACTCTTCCCCACCGACTTGGTTGTGATCATTGTATGATCATTGTGTATTTGTATTGTTTGCATTTGTTTGCCTCTAATCAGCTTGTGCTGTGTGTGATGCTGTGCTATTTTTATTGTGGGACACCAATGGGTGGAGCGTTTTGTCGAGGTTTTGTTCTGAAAACTGCACACAGCACTGCTGATTGGTTCTTGAACCGCCCTGGCATCTCAGAGCTTCGCCAAGTGGACGATGCTGCGGCAGCAGTGACATTCCTGGAACGAAACCCATTCCACACTCTTTGCCGTTCTTACGAAGTTCTTACGAAGTTCTTACCTCGAAAGGGTTTTGCCGAAGTAGCACTGTAAAGAAGAAAAACTCGCGGGGTCCTCAAAACATCAAGGAACGTTTCTACGTCGTGGTGTCCATGCAAAGCTTCAAACGTGGCATGCCGCTGCTGCCTGCCTTCGATGATGAACAGCCCGACACAGAGATCGATGCTGGAGAGCCTTATGGCCTCAAGCGCTGGGTCCGGTACGAGACTGCAACTCGGATCAACTCGATCTCCGATGTTGGGAACTGTTGGGGACTCCATGGCCCATGCAAATTGGTCATTTCTAGTGGAGAAATCACGGGGGCACCACCAATCAGAAACATCCGGGATGAAATTCCGCCTTGGCCCAATCCCAATGGTTTCCATCAGGGGATTTTGATCCACTGAAGTCACTGTCTTCGCCTGCGCAGGCTGGTACCCAAAAGTTTCATCTTCCCGAGTATCTGAAGATCTTCTTGTCTCGCCTGGGCTATGAGGTGGAAACCTATGCTACTTGGCGAGACAGAAAGCCCTGGAGCATTTTGCACATTTTGGCGCAGTGGAAAAAAACCTGGAATCCAGCTGCAACTTGCTACAACCTGCTGCAGACACAAGGATAGCTTGGACAGTGAGACGCTGGTGCCCTACCAGTGCGTGCTCAAACGAGAGGATGATCTCGTTGCTATCCGGCGTTTTGTTTGCTTACCCATTCTTACACCTTCTCTGGCTTATTTTGGGCCAAACCATATACCTGAGGGTCACCATCGTTATAGCAATGACCATAGTAGGTTTATAGCCAACAAGACAGTAGTGATCATGGTAATCATCACCATTCTTTCTGCATACTTCTGGTATCACAGAATCCTATCTTCATGTTTCACACATGGGACCCCAACTCATGGTGCCAGTATCACAGCTGGTGACCAGCTGGTGCCAGAGTGCCAGAGCACAGTGTGGTGTGTCAGCGCCAGGACTGGGAACTGGTGCATGCTCGTTTCCATGAGGCGTGGGCGGGCTACCAGATGGAAGTTGATTCACAGCAGCTGCACTTTTTTTTTGAGAGACAAAGGCTTCCGAAAGTCACAAGGAAGAGCGTCATGATGTGAGACGACCTGCCAATGTGATCCAATGTGATCCAATGTGCATGTCCGTTCTGCCAGGCATACCCATTGCAAAAGACGGCCTACCGTCGAGCCAACGGTGGCTCCGGGGCTCCCGGCGTTCATGAAGACGTGGTGCCGAAAATTGTGTCGGCTGCGGCTGAGGTGGCCAATTGGCAGGTGGGGACGGGGACGGGGACGGGGTGCGGAGGCACGCCGAGGCCGAGTTCAGTCACACTGTGAGTCACACATCGTCACACTATTTGCATGGTGTTACGATGTGTTGCGATGTGTTACGATGTGTTACGTGTACCCAGAGTAGCATGTAGCATCAAGTAGCATCAAGTAACCGTTTGATAGTGAGCAAGGAAATAGTGATGGCATGTGATGGTGGTGATGATATTTGTGGTAGAAACATGTAGAAACTGGGTGTGACTCCAGGGCAACTTTTGCTACAGTGACGGTTACGGCCAGGAACTACTGCAGGCAGCGAAGGAAGCGAAGGAACCCAAATTGGTGGTCCGCAACACCTTCCTGGATCTGGAGGTGCCGATGCCATGGACGTGGCAGGCTGTCGGAAAAAAGTGCGCTATGCAGACGCACTATGATTGTATAATATTTGTATAATATTTGTATAGACTAGTGCAGCTAGTATAGTATGATATATATGTATATTATATAAATTATATATATATATTAGATTGATATGGTATGGTAGTATATGGTAGTAGATGGTAGTATACTTTAGTCTATCCTTTTTATCACCTTGTTGTACTCCACCTGGGTACCAAGCACGGCAGGATCAGGAAGAGGAGCAACGGCAGAGACTTCGGCGCCGACCCAAGACCACGGCTCTCAGTCGACCGGTCTATGTGCATTGATTGCGCTGACCGCGCTTGGTGCCACTTGGCGATAAAGGTTGGCGTTGAAAGCTGGTTAGCAGCTTAGCATATGTCAGAGCGTTGAAAGCTGGATCCACTCCATTCCACTCCCCAATACTCCCCATCTCATCTCTGGATCCACTGGGATCCACTGCCTGTCCAAGGCATCTGAATCACTGAATCACCCTTGCCCACAGATCTGCTACAGGCCGGATTCAAGTGGCAAGGTGCCTTGAACAAAAGCGGCGCAGCATGTGAAGTTGTAAAGAGCAGCGCTGCGCCAGTGCCAGTGCCATTGCCACCACCATGTCCAGGGCGATGGTGCTGGCCCATGCTGGCCCAACAATTCGGTTGCAAACATCCGTTGCAAACAAGAAGCATCTGATGTTTTTAGGGAGTTTTAAAGGCCATGCACTTTGCTGTTGCAGCAGACAGCTCGTGGACATAGCCGCATAGCATCGCATAGCCGTGGCCTAGCTACAGTGATCATCCTGGGCTTTGAATTTCTACTACAAAATATATTTTCTGCGGTTTTCCGACATCTTTGTTGTATATAGAGTATTCATAGTATTCCAATGCACGCTGTACAGCGCAGTAGGTGCAGGTAGAGCACCACCACTGCGTGTCCCTTGGCGCGTCCTAACCAGGTTGTGCCATGGGCTCGTCTCGCATCAGCCGAGCAGAATTGATCCGGACCCGTCGGAAGGGTGAAAACCCTGGCGTGAAAATGCTCAGCTCCTCTAAGGCCAATCAAGGAATTTCCCAGCGGGAACGGCCTATCTATCTGCTTCACTTTGGTTCACTTTGCTTCACATGGACATCGTGTATCATCGTGTCAGCCGCGAGGCAGAGCATCTCAAGAAAACTGGCCAGAAGCCTGGGTGTATCCGGGCGATTCCGGGTGAACGGGAAGCTTGGGTGATCTTGGGTGTACATTGTCCAATTGGTGGGAAAAGAGTTCAGCTTCCTACCTCAGGCCACCAGTAATGAAGCAAAAAGCAGCAAGAAGCGGTAAGTTTCAGTCAGTGAGAAGGAAATGCCTTTGGTTATCTTTGGTTCTAGTGAAAGAGGTGATGAGAGGCACCCCACGACTTTGGTGGGTCTGCAGATGCAGAGTGCGCCGCGAGTGGATTTTTCTTCTTGGCCCAAGCCGAGGCGGTTCCTTGTTGCAGATTTCTCCACGTTCCGCGGGAACACCTGCGCGCGAGGGTGGTCAGGCAACGTGGTCAGAACGGCCACCCGGAGAGTGATGTATTCTATGATTCTGATGTGCTGTCATGTGTTGTGATGGTCTCCATATTACGATTTTTTTTTGAAGATTTCTTCAGAACAGTTTTCGAGAAAAGTGGCAGGGAAGTCTGTTTGATTCCAACTTCAGATTTCTTCCAGGTGCAACAGGCAGCCAGCCCTCGCCTCAGCACCGCGGCTAGCCGGGCCTAGGTTTTGATACACGTCCTGGGGTGCTGAGGTGTCAACGAATCAACCTCCGACGTTTCCCAAGAGGAGGTGTGGGGCAACAGTGATACTCAACATATGCTCAGGCAGAGCCAGGCTGTGGCGCGATTCCTGCGACTTGCTGAGAGGTCATGGCAGCCATGAGGGAAGCTGTCAAGACGTTGCAGGCAGCCATTGCCCCCATTGCCCATGGCTGAAGTCGACTTGGGCATGGCACATCACAGTCATCCCCAAGTGCCAACAAAATCCAAAAAACACAAACCACCGACATCACCACCATTACCCTCTGGTAATTTAACATAGCTATTGAACATTGCCATAGAAATAGTTGATTTTCCCAGCTATAAAATGGTGATTTTCCATAGTTATGTAACAGTTTACCAGAGGGTAACACGCCACCATTTTTACCTGACATGTCCGGTATCCTCTCGATAAGCCTGGGATGACCGGGATGGGAGGCCAAGGAACAAAAGGAACAAAGTGACGCCGTGGACACGGCAGGCCTCTGAGTTGGCAACGAACTCGAAGCAGTGCACGGGCTTTGTGAAGCTATGTGAAGCTATGTGAAGCTATGTGAAGCTATGTGAAGCTGTAAATTTCAAACGAACCTTAACAAATCTAACATCATTGAACAATCCTCCTATGGTGTGCCCCGAGAAAAAATTGGGCTGGAGCTAGAAAAATAGAAACAAAAATCCGAGCGAATCCGAAGGATTTCTGAAATAAAATGGGCTCAGACCCCAGCATTCTATTTTTTTTTGTGCATTTTATCTTTTGAGGGGCCTAGCGGCCTAACCCATAAACTTATCTCCAGAATCTGGCAGCTGAGGGGCTATCAAACAGGATGGAGATGGCACAATAATATCGCAGGGCCTGAGGTAAAACACCTGTGGCTGCCAGCATGCAACACAGAGGTCTCCTGAAGCACCTCTCCTGAAGCTCTGGTTTGGCTAATTCCTAACTATTGGGTTATTTTACTTTTTAAGGTTATTTTCTATCTATCAGTTAGTTAAATGAAAAATCTACATTTGTTCAGATTGTTTCTTTGAATAACATCATTTTTTATTAACAACCTCAAACACGTTCAACATTTTGTGGATATATGTGGATATAATTGCAATCAAAAGTTCAAAGATGATTCACACAATTCAAACAAGAAAACAAGATCAACCCAGAGAAAAAAATGTCAACGCCCCACGTCCAACAGTTGCCATATGCCCTGGTCCCATCCCTCCCCCTGGCACAAAAAAAGGGGATCTTAACAGGGAAAACTGGACCACGGTAAAAAGGATGTAGTTGAACAAACATCATAATTTTGCAAAACATATGGGAAAGTGTCCAAAACATATGTATATAAGATAGAATAACACGCACGGTGTATATATATATATATGTATTATAAATCATATTGTAATTGTGTTACGTTATGTTATCTTATATCACAAATGAACAATTAAAGCCATGTAGAAACCTCAAACCTCCGCAATCTCACAGCCCAGGTCGTCAATGCTCTGAAGGATGACGTGGGTGCACAGGATCCCACCTTCAATGCCAACAGCGATGATCTCAGACTGTGCTGTGGTGATGGGCCAAACCGGAGTTAGGTACAACATATTAGATAGATAGATAGATAGATAGGGATTTGTGATATTTTGATATTTTTTTTTTATGTATATAACTACCGTACATATCACTATATCAGATGTGATCATATCCATTCCACATCTCACCTCAGCTTTTTTGGCGATGTTGGTTGGCAACCCAAAAATCCTAGCAAGATCGTACAAAGACAAGGCCCTGGCTGGGTTGGTTGGCATCCCAAAAGCGACATTGCCAAATGATTTAACCATCATTCAATTTATCATTGATCATGATCATAATCTGTTTGCGTTTTGGGTTTTCACCTGCCCCACAACGGGAGACATTCCTACCGATTCCTACGGATGCCTACGTTACACCCAGGCAGCCACGTGACGGAAGACCCCGTGCTGGCAGCCTTAGAGGATGGCATTGGAGCACAGGAGCCCAGTCGGGATGCCCAAAAATGGTCGAGAGATGACGAGAGACTGTCTGCACTGTCTCCTTTGGGCGGCCGATGTTGAAAAACACGAAAGATGTTGAAAGCATCCGTAGGTGCTGCTCCTCTCCACACTCGTGCTTCTTGGATGAAACTTTCGGACTTGGTGCCAAGTTATGCCAAGTTGCAAGGAATAATCGGTTGATTTGGGCACCCCGTGGCATCATATCGCGTCCCCAAATTTGAGGTTTCTGCTGTGACGCAGCAGGAGAACATCAGCGATGGCAGTGTGGTCACTGTTAGTCTCCACCTCACGAGTCGATTTGGCAGTTTCGACCGTTGACCGTACGCAACTTTGACCACCAAGAGATCCAACATCCAACAAATCCGGCAGCATCAGCATAGTATGGCCAGTATGGCTTAGTCTTATTATGCTTTATTCCGCCTCAAGAAGGCATTGTTGCCATTTGTTGCCCATTGGAGTTGCCTGTGCCAAGCCCGTGCCAAGCCCGTGCCAAGATCATTCATCTTTGCCGGTGCAGGTTCAGGCCTTAGTTTTCTCCGCTTCAAGACTTGATGCAGTTGCATCAGGACTTGTTGCAAGATGTTGCAAGCAATATGACTACATGTGACCAACATCCAAAGATATCCAAAGTATATCAACATAATTCAAATATATATAAAAATATGATATCTGCAATATCATGCAATATCAATTTAGGGCAGATGTTTCTTCAACATCAACAGTCGTTGGCAACAGAGACTGGCCCTATTTATCCCATTTTGCGCAAGTTGTCCCTTGTGTGACGAGGCACGCGCTTTACTCCCGGCGGAAGCGAAGAGGTTCAAACTGGGCAGCTGGGGAAACCATGTTCCAAAGTCGCACACAAAATATTTCCATTGAGCATCAAATTGGACACTTGAGCTGAAAATCATTGAATATCCATGCAATACTTGCACCCTCAAGTGCTGAATGATTTGATAATGTTTGTTGAGTCACCCCCCATGGCTGCACATAACTTATTTGATAAGCTCTCTAATATTTCACACATTTGGAAGTTGTGTCCTGGAAGTGGTGTCGCTAGCACGGCCAGTTTCGTTGAACACGTGCTTCCGAGTGTGGTGGATGTAGCCAGCCAAGAAGGCGGGAATGCTGGTCGTGAATCCAGTGTGGATTTGTCTTGGATTGGCCACCAGAAAACATCTGAATTTGCACCTTGATTCATCTAAGGATCTTTTTACAAAAGATAAAGGTATGCTGTATATTTATATAATTGTTATATATATATATACACATATTGTATTGATTTGTTGTATATTTATTATCACATATAATATATACTTTTGTCGGAGGCATGCCAGGCATCCTCCATCAAGGCATCTGACGTTTTTCGTCGACGCAGGTCGCCGCAGTTTCTGGTCCACCCGTTCGGGCGCACTGGCGGCAGCTGTTGGCTTTGTGGCGGCCACATGGCTGGCGGAACCTTGGTTTAGACGGGAATGGGTTCTTATGGAGGCTTCTTAAAATGTGAGATCCCCAAAAACCAGAGGTTTCAAATGGTTTCAATACTAAAATGGTCCAATTTTGGATGATTTGGGGGTAGCATCATTTTTTGAAAGCCCCATATATGGAGATATAGTAAGATGAAAATGGTGATGATGCGATCCATGAAGCAGATTACCTGGATCACCTGGATGTTCAAATCTTTTAAGCTGCGCACACTGAGACTGGAGGTCATTTGCATGGCAACTGGCTTTTGGATGGCCGTGTTCTCTGGCTGGCGCAGCCCTTGCCTGAGCGTTACATGGCAAGAATGATTTGAAATCACTTGGTACACACAGCCTGCCTGGATTTGAGGTGACAACAAGGGCAGTCTTCGCTCTACCATAGAGGCTTGAATAGGGTTTCCTGATGTTATATGTAAATTCGATACCGGGCCTTTCAGGCCTTACATTTGATTCATGGCTGAAGGATTTCTTTGTTATCACTGCGCGTTGTACCTCAGCAGCATAGTTTGCACATTGGTGGCATGGCTTCCTTCATGCAATGCATAGTAGCCACGCATCATGAGTTGACAATAGTTGCTCTTAGAGAGAGGTAGATAGATAGATAGATAGATAGACAGATAGATAGACAGATAGACAGATAGACAGATAGACAGAGAGAGAGGGATATATATATATACATGACATATACTTACAATTACTTTCATATACTTACAATTATGCATATTTATAGTTCCCCATAGGGGGAACAAGTCCATGTGACAGGCACAACGGCGTTCCCGTGCCACGGATTTGCAGAAGCTGATGCCGTCCTCTGGGGGCCTGGGCCGCGGACGGAATGTCACAATCATGCAGCATATTGTTATAATATGTTATAATATGATATAATGTGATATTAGTATCACAATTCATAATTGTTGTATTATATAATAATCATAATCATAACAATTATACACATGCCCGTTGGAGTGCCCGACTTGTCCAAAGTTTGGCATTATGTAGAGCTACTTTTGTTGTCAGACCACCAAGACCACCAAGGCTACGACTGTGCCTTCTCCAAACCAGTGAGTCGAGACCCTGGTAGCCGCATCCGCCAGCACAAGTGTAGCCAACCCCCGGCTTGGGAGGATGGGCGGCCGAAGACCTTACAACGAAGTTCAACGAAGATCCTGAAAATCCTTGGTGTTTTCCTTGACTCATGGCATGGTTCCATAATGCTGAGTCACTTAGTAGATGTTGGTAGATTGTCACCATTGATCCAATTGAACCACCCTTCCAGTGGCATCCAGTGGCAGATGTGGATGCTGAAGCCGTTCATCCCTCAGGTTCCAAGCAGCTCCTTCGCTTGGAAGTAAAAATTGAAGGCCCAGACACTGGCCTAGCTGCATTGAGGGCGCCCCTCACAGGCCGGGTGGGCGGTCTCGTGGGTCTTGTGGGTCTCGTGGGTCTTGTGGGTCTTGGCTGAACATGGTGAACCGCTGAAACTGCCACGGTGAGCCTCGACGCTGACCGTTGACTTCAAGGCCGCCAGTGCGTGCTGCATTCGGCTGCTGTGACCGGAGTCCCAGGAGAATTGGGCGTGCATTCAGACATATTCAAGCCATTTCAGACCCAGGAGGGCCAGTTTCTCCAAACTTGGCAATGTTTGCTCAGTATGCATGCTAAGTCTGCTAAGTTTTACTTGAGTACAGCTGGGAGGTGGTTCGTCGATGCTTTGCAGTTACCATCAGTTACCTGGTGACTTTGCCGAGGTCGAAGCAGTTGCATGATGGCATGTGGGGAGCTTGAGCAGATCGTTCGATGCTCCAAGCCCTTCACCCGTCACATCCCTTCACCCTTCATCGCCAGTTTCATCCAGTTTCTCTGCTGGATGTCTGTTGGACTGAACCAGTTGGTCTACCGAATCTGCCGAGGCCTGCTGTTCCTGTAGCTTTCTCAGCGTCAGGAGTCTCAGAGTCTCAGAATCCAAAGCCCTCCGACGGTCAGCACTCAGCCACTCAGCTGGACTCAGCACTCAGCGATTGCCAGGTCCAGTGTGGACTTCATCGTCAGCTTGCTGGATGAGAAAGAAACACGTTCAGAACTTGGGCTGTGACTGCTGTGACAAGCTGTAGTGACACTCAGTTCTGCACTTTTGCTTGCTGGTGTTCTACGTGCACTCTTGTTGCACACCGGTGCAACCATAAGAATCAAACCAACAACTTGACTCATTCTGCGTTCTTAGCAGCCCACAGTTTCAGCACTGGTGGTGTGTTGTGGGATGTTGATGGGTGCACGGTGTTGCCACGTCGTGTTGCAGTGTTGCCACGGTGTTGCAGGGATTCACATCAAGGGCGAAGACGTGTCGCTCTTCGACACCGTGAATGGCAAGTGCATCGAGCGCACCACCTTTGATTCCGCGCCCGACAGCTGGCAGGTGCCCTGGGTGCCCTGGCTCCGTGATGCTCCGTGGTGATAACAGGATAGAACAGGTGGTTTGATTAATCACTAATAGTCTAATAGTGTTTAATAATAGTGGCTAATGGATGCTAATAGATGCTAATAGTGATTAATAGTGATTAATAGTGATTAATAGTGATTAATAGTGATTAACTAATAGTGATTAATAGTGGCTAATAGTGATAATAGAGTTTCGAGGTCTTCAAATGCGATCATAAAAAATGCGTCTTGATGCTGGATCATGACAGCAGTAGCCAGTGCTGGATCACGACTCATCACGAAGCATCAAGACATTACCAAATGGACATTGCCAACAGATTCAGCTTCGCGCTGCCCGTGAGGTGATGGATCATGATTCAATAGAGCAATCGGCTCTGAAAATGGGATGTCCCAAAATCCAAGGGTTTCGAAATCGTTTTCCCATTGAATCCCATTTTAATAAAAACCTGCTATTTTGAGGATCCCCAAGTTTTGAAGAAACCCAAACTTGATAAACCTTGATATCAAATTCCTTAAATCAAGCAGCAAATCTCTGCTTCTTGGATGATACGGATTCCGATGCCACGAGGTTCACGCATGACAAAAACAAGCTGAACCAAGTGCTCCCCAGAATAAAAAGGACTAAATCCAGTGGCCGACTAGAGTACTAACTATTTTGAACTAAATTTTGTCCGCGACTAGATCTGATTTGATCTTGGAGGTACATATGCACCATTCAATATATCGCAGTTATGTCCCCATTCTCACCCATACATTGCTGGTAATGGCATGTCAAACATGCCATGGTTGATCTCTCTCTCTCTCTCTTTCTCTCTCTCTCTCTTTTTTTCCCTCTCTCTCTCTCTCTTTCTCTATCTCTCTCCATCATATAGTATCTCATGACTTCCCAACATCATATTCCGCAAATGGAATGGATCCATTGGTTGGCTGACGCCTCAACAACCCAATGTTGGCAGCGTCCAGGATTTCGTTTTGACACATCGCTCAGCAGCTCCTCAAGGCACCCATGTTTGGTTGCTGGAGTTGGAAAATCATGGAACACCATGGAACATGGGTGTAGAATGTGTAGAAGATGATGTTTTTCCTGATTGCAGATTGCCATTTCCATCCATTTGGCGAATTCATCATGGGTTCATCATGTGCCTTGGTAAACAGTGCAGGACAAGAGTGGGCGGCCAGCTCATCCCTCCGTAGTGCCCCCAGAGATCAGTTGTGCCGACTGTAAGCGGCTGCCAAGTTGATGAGATGGTGGGATGAGAGTCTGAAACCGATAGAGAGAGAGAATCATTGATATACAGATGAAACTATATATTGTATATATTGTATATATATATATACATAGATATATACAGATGAAACTATATCTATGTTGTTGATGTATATACAGATGATATAATATACATAGAATATACCAACAACATCAAACCCAAAAGATTGAACCAATGATTGAGTATTAGATTGCATGCACCAATGATATCCAATGATATTCCAATGATCCATGATCCTCACAACAGTGTTCCATGGAAGGTGCTGATGATGCCAACCTCGAATTTCAAGAGGCATCGTTGCTGGTGGGCTCCACTGTGACAGCCATCCCGCCACACTTTGGTTACGTCTGGTGCCGTGTGCCAACAATTTGTGGGATCAAGTAGGGGTAAGCATGGGTAAGCTCCGGGTAAACCCCAAATAACCCCAATTCATCAAGTAAACCCAGTTTTTGCTGTGTGGATGGAGTGTTGGTGGCCAGGTCATTGGGGAATTACACCGTGGAGTTGATGGGCAGCTGTCCATGAAGCAGCTGACCAAGTGGCTAGCACCGGCTGCAGAGAAATTCGCTGTAAAAAATTGCCTGGAAAGTAGTATATGTATGATAATGATTGATAATGATTGATCATGTATGCAGAAATGGACCTGGCTTGCTGCACCTCAAGTTTAGCCGTATGTACACAGGTGCAAGATCAAGATTCACCTCGGTCGCTTGTGGCAACATGTCACGCAGATGTTGAAACTGACGAGGCCTTGGCAGGGTGAAGTGAAGACCAGCTGGCGAGGCAAGAAACTCCGAGAGCCTTGGCGTCCGGAGATCCCAGTCGCAGATCACAGATCGTCCCAGGATCCGGGGAAGGACACGAAGAGATTCAACAGCTGTCATAACATGATTAAATAATATTAAATATGATGAATATGTCAAGATGATAGCACCAATTTGAGGTGATAGAACTGATAGAATTACAATATGAAATGAAGATATTGCATGATATTCGATATGACGCCAGATATACGCCAGATCCCGTGAAATGACATGTCAAAAGGCAGTTGTCATAGCCTCGGTCCGAGTACGTCGCGGCCAAGGCACCTCATGGGAGCGCGGCTGCGATGAGAAAGGATCCAGGTGGCTGTCGGATCCTGTCGGACAAACTATGCACGCGTTAAACAAATCGTAAAAAATCTGCAACAACTGTGATTTAACCCATTTCTATGCCCAACTATTATAGGATTGGAACCATCACTGCAACAACTGTAGCTCCGTGCGCTGATGCAGGTCTTCAACACCGGAAGTCTTGAAACAGAAGGCCTGGAAAGACGCTCCTCGCGTGATCTCCCATGAGTACTTCATGTCGTAGTGGGGTGATATAGTGGGTGTGAAGTTTGAAATGGCTATGGCCTTGTACTAGGTAGGTAGCACCACTAGCTTTCTGAAATGCACCTGTCATGGCTGGGAAGCGCTTTTCAGGTCTTCATCAGCGATGATGAGAAGCTCTTGGCCACCAAGGAACCAGAAGTAGAAGGCGGCCTCGATGGAAGTTTGCGCAATCGATGATGGCAATGATGAGACGGCCTCGATTTGTTTGTGGCAAAAAATCTGGTTATGACTAACGTAGCCATGGAAAATCACCATTTATAATAGGTAAACCATCTACAAATGGGCCATGTTCATCCATTTTCCATGGCTATGTTAAATAACCAGAGGGTAGTTTGACATAGTTTGAATCTCTAAAAGCTGGAGTTTTTTCCAAATCTCTGGGGAGTTGGGTGCCCAGCGGCCAGGGAAGCTGAGAGAATGTGCTGGTGGCTTGGGTAACTTTCTGGGATGAAGCTTCTTGGCCCAATTGCCGCAACATCCAATTGCCGATATATCGTACCATGTCGACATCTTGGGATGTACATGATGTAGCTAGCAACAATGGGGGTATGGCCGACATGCGCGGTCGCTGATTTCAATCACTTTTTATTTCACATGTTGGTGTATTGAAACCACCAATGAACTGCCATTTTTGCACGACAGGAAGGTGAAGTTGAATCCCAAAGACCTGTATTTGGTGCCGGGCATTTGAGGGGGCCCTCGCTGTTGTCACTTTTCAAACATTACACAAAAAACAACATGATAGACGAGGGGGGTTAGGAGGGGGGTGGGGTGGGGGTGGGGTGGGTGTGGGATGATAGCGTCATTTGCTGTACGTTCTCATGCACTTGCACACATACGTCATGCTACGCTGCTGTACGTTCTCATGCACTTGCACACATATGTCATGCTACGCTGCTGTACGTTCTCATGCACTTGCACACATATGTCATGCTACGCTGCTGTTCGTTCTCATGCACTTGCACACATACGTCATGCTACGCTACTGTACGTTCTCATGCATTTGCGCACATACGTCATGCTACGCTGCTGTACGTTCTCATGCACTTGCACACATATGTCATGCTACGCTGCTGTACGTTCTCATGCACTTGCACGCATATGTCATGCTACGCTGCTGTACGTTCTCATGCATTTGCGCACATACGTCATGCTACGCTGCTGTACGTTCTCATGCACTTGCGCACATACGTCATGCTACGTTGCTGTACGTTCTCATGCACTTGCACACGTACGTCATGCTACGCTGCTGTACGTTCTCATGCACTTGCACACATACGTCATGCTACGCTGCTGTACGTTCTCATGCACTTGCACACATATGTCATGCTACGCTGCTGTACGTTCTCATGCACTTGCACACATATGTCATGCTACGCTGCTGTACGTTCTCATGCACTTGCACGCATATGTCATGCTACGCTGCTGTACGTTCTCATGCATTTGCGCACATACGTCATGCTACGCTGCTGTACGTTCTCATGCACTTGCGCACATACGTCATGCTACGCTGCTGTACGTTCTCATGCACTTGCACACATACGTCTTGCTACGCTGCTGTACGTTCTCATGCACTTGCCTGTACAGATGCTTGTGATGGTGATGATGATGGTGATGATGATTATGATGATGATGATTATTATGATATGATGATGATGATGATGATGATGGTGATGAAAATGCGACTGATGCTAAAGTTTCGTTTTTCAGCGTTTTGTGGTCCCCCCTGTAAAATGTTTGAAAAGTGACAACAGCGAGGGCCCCCTCAAATGCCCGGCACCCTGTTTTTGTCACGTTGGAGGTTAATTTCCGTGCGCCGACATTTCTGTGATAATTTTGCACAGATGGCCGTGCTTTGTACAGATTGGCCTGGGCCTGTGCGCCTAGCAGCACCCAATCGCTTCAGTGTCGCATGAATCGACTGGTCACATAATGTCACATCAACGTAAGAAAATGACTGGCCAATTGCCTTCCATGAAGTTCCCATGACCGAGAAAGCGGCGAAGCGGTTGGTTGTTCCCCCGATTGGTTGGATGTTTCTTACATTCTGCGGCCGAAACTGTTGCATGGCATCGTTCGGCAATCCGGCTGTGCTCAATGATACGCCAAGTCGGTCACAATGTTGGTGACAATAATATGTCACAATATGTAGCTCACAAATCTATAGCATGACTTGGATGTATTCAATTTTTCTTAATTAAGTTATTAGACTGTCAAGACTGGACCTATACCACGGTGCTCTCCTGTTTGCTATACTATGCTATACTATTTACACGAATCTATTTAACATGTTTTGTGGTTTCTATTGCTTTTCAGAGAGCGGAGCCGACGGCCTTGGACTGAGAATGGCCAATGCAAAAGGGCTCAGTGGGATGTGGAACCAGTGAAGCAATCCGTGGCAATCCGTGGCAATCCGTGGCAACTGACGGGGAACATGACGCAGATTCTGCATTTGGATAACATGGTTCTGGCATGGCCCTGTAATGACTGTAATGCCCTGTATGGCTCGAGCAGCTCATCCAGAAGTTTCAGGTTGCTCAAGCCTGCCATGAGACGCAACGGAGTTTGGCCAGGCCAGGGTGCTTCCGACATCTCTCCTTGATCAGCCTTGACCTTCTGTTGATCTTCTGGTGTTTCTGTTGCTTTTCTGGACGAATTACCATGAGCATAGAGGCACTGCGGCACTGTGTTTAGATATGTTTAGATGCTGCTACTTGGCAGGGCCAAATTCAAGCTGCATGTTATAGGATGTCTCCGATTTTGCGATTTTGGGCTCGGCTTGCCATTCTCCAGAGGGAAAGCCCCTCGGTTGTGATGCGGAAATTTCCCTCGGATATGACGCGGACGCGTTTCCTCGGATATGACGCGTGCCCTCGGTTGTGACGCGGGGTGTGTTTTTGCGTGGCAGGCGTGGCGCTTGGTGCCATCGATGGTCCTCTTGTGTGGCACGTGTTGTGCATGGTGACATCGACGTTGCGTTTCTGTAGCGGGCGCGGCTCGGAAGTCGAGCCGTGTTTTTTTATGACGCCGCGGATCGTGTCCGTGGCAGGCGTGCCTCTGTGTGACATCGACGGTCACTGTGTATGGCACGTGTGGTGCTTGGTGATGTTGACGGTGCTTGATTGCGCGTGGGATTCGTGGCATGTGCGAAGTGGACTGGCTGTGATGCTTCCTATGTATTCCTATTTGTCTTCGTGACATTGCGGCTTTTGATACTGTGGCAGGCGTGGCACATGGTGACATAGACGCTGCTTTTCTGTGGCTGGCGTGGCGCTTGTTGGCATTGACTCTGCTGGCTTTTGTGTGGAAGGCGTGGCATGTACGAACTGGGCTGGCTGTGGGTAAGCGCCTTCGTCTGTCTGACGCTGCGTGTTTTATCCGTGGCTGGCGTGACACTTGGCGACAGCGACGCAGCTTTTGTGGGTCACGGCCTCGCCTGTGCATGCGCATTTGGGTCTCGCGGTTGCACGTGCACCTGGGTCTCGTGTGTGCAGGCTCTCGCGTGGCGGGTGCAAAATTCCCGGCACCAGTTTTGAATTCCTGCCAGGCTCCGTTTTGGCCGCTGAGCGGACCAAATCCTTCAAAACGGACTTCCCAGCTGCTCTCTGGTTTTTGCCTTTCTCTGTGGGCTTCTGTGCTCCTTTCTCTCTCTGGCGGCGCGCATCCTTCAATACGGACCTCCCCAGCTCTTCTGCTCTGGATCTGCTTGGCTGTGCTCCTTCCTCTTTCTGGTGGTCCGTTTTGTCCGGTTTTGCGGCCCAAATCCTTCAAAACGGACCTCCCCACCTCTTCCACTCTTGGTCTGCTTGGCTGTGCTCCTTGCTCTTTCTGGTGGCCCGTCTTGGCGACTGAGCCACCGAAATCCGTCAGAGCGGGCTTCCCCAGCTGTTCTCTTGTTTTTGTGCTCCTTTCTCCGTGGGCTTCTGTGCTCCTTTCTCTCTCTGGTGCTCCGTTTGGGCCGCTGAGCAGCCCAAATCCTTCAAAACGGACTTCCCTAGCTTTTCTGCTTCCCATCTGTTTAGCTCTGCTCATTGCTCTTTCTGGTGGTCCGTTTTGGCGGCTCAGCGGCCGAAATCCTTCAAAACGGACCCCCCCAGCTGTTCTACTCTTGATCTGCTTGCCTGTGTTCCTTGCTCTTTCTGGCGGTCCGTTTTGGCTGCTGGGCGGCCCAAATCCTTCAAAACAGGCCTCCCCAGCTCTTCTGCTCTTGATCTGCCTGGCTGCGCTCCTTGTTTTTTCCGGTGGTCCGTTTATTGCCCCACCCCACCCCACCCCAATAGTGAACCATGATGGAGGTGCAGCTCTTGTGTGATGAGGATGCAGTGCTTGTGTGCGCGCGGGTACATGAGAGTTATTGCCCACCCCACCCACCCCACCCCCCCACCCACCCCCCACCCCACCCCAACCAATAGTGAACCATGATGAAGGTGCAGTGCTTGTGTGATGGGGTGCAGTGCTTGTTGTGTGTGCGCGGGTACATGAGAACGTTATTGCCCCACCCCACCCCACCCCCCACCCACCCCCACCCCACCCCAATAGTGAACCATGATGAACGTGCAGTGCTTGTGTGACGAGGGTGCAGTGCTTGTGTGCGCATCATCATCATCATCATCATCATCATCATCATCATCATCATCATCATCATCATCATCATCATCATCATCATCATCATGGTCATCATCACCATCAGCCAGCGCCGTGGTCATCATCCACCAACTCGATCTAGAACAGTTTGACCGCGCGTTGAAGGTTGAATGCGCGCAGTGTGTGTGGCCAGCTGCAACGCGAGATGGGTTGGTGAGGCGCGGGGCCCTTGGTACCCATTTTGGTGACATACTCCACGAAGCATTCCAAGTGAAGAGAGCGCCTGTGTTCAGGATGGGATTTGAGTCCAGTCCAGCCCTAAGCCTGATTTCATCTTTGAATATAGCTTGCAGTTTGCGTTTGCCAAGGTCTTCCTCCATTGATTGCTCAGGGCCGTGAGTTGCGGGGGCGACGCACACTTGGGCGGCAGCTTGATTGCAATCCTGTGTGAGAGAATATTTTTTTCCTTCTTGGAGCATATTATTGCGCATGTCCGCAATATTTCTCTTGTTTTGTTCATTTCGGACGTGTTGAATAGTGTTCATTGTAGGCATAATAAACCCAGCCGATTTACCAACATGTTTTCCGGCCATGGTCCTTTTGTGAAACAGTTTTACTTCAGATGGGTTGAACTTAGGAGACTGTAAGCCTGCAGGCCAACAGTTTATAACCATTGTTTTCAACGTGGATTTCTCTGTTTAGTCCGGAAGCTGACAATCCTTAGCTTTTGCCGCTAAGTGCCATGAGCCAAGTAGTGCTCGTGATCATGTTTGTTGCTATCTGTGGTAGAAGACGGTTCGCGGGTTGAGTCTGCCACTTCCACTTCCATTCTTTTAAGCAAACCTGCTGCCAAGTATCTTGTGCATCTCACCATTGTTGAAAGCAGGACAGTGTTGCAGACCTTGGAAGCCGAGGTATTTCTGACCAGCGGGGTTGGTCTTAAGATGCCCCTGGAATTCATTACCGCACTCCGATCCTGTCAAAGCCCACAGCCATGGTGAACTTTTTGTCGCCATGGCTCCAACCCTTGCGTCAAGTGGTTGTATGCGTAGTCTGTTGGTGCGCGTAGCCGCAGTCTCCACAGTTACTAAGTTTTTGATAAAGATGAACATATACGTACTGTATGTGTGTACACATATATATATATATAATATATATATATATATATACATAAATATACATACAGTTACATAAATGTATTTGTATGTCGCGCTTGCTACGCGCGCACTTCAGCTTGTTTCACCTTCAAAATTGGCGCTCAACATTTGCTACAGTTTCAGTTGTTTGCATACTCCGTTGCCAAAACGGTGGCATGAAAGATGCCGTCTCGCGGGCCGTGACAGGCCTTAGTGATTTAGCTGGAGAGGTGAATTGCATGCGATAGCATATAGGAAAACTCTGGACTTGCGAAAAGACACGCAGCACCTCTCACACTACTGCTGCAAAACCATGCAAGCCAGCGACCGTCACAAAAAAAATGGTGAAGTCTTCTTCAGAGGGCGTTCTACTTGAATTCCAGCGACTTAGTCATGACGGGTCGTCCTCATTGTGTTTTCGAGCAGAATATACAGCTGAGATTTCTTGAGCAACATGGAAGGCAGCCTTGCAGCAGACTCAGCAAATATGTTTTGTCACTGTGCAGAGAATCCGCTTTGTTTTTTTGTTGTACGCCTGCAGCTTATTTAAGAACTTTCCAAGAAAGCGGGAAGGGAGTGAGCCCACAAGGCCAGTGGTTGCATGACGATGTTTCGCATTGTGTTGCCATGTGTGGCATGTGTGCCAAGTGCTCGCCCGCAGAGGCAAAGATGACTTCCACGCTTTTCAGATTGCGTGCTTCTTAGCTGGCGCGGTGTGTTTGCCGCGCCTTTTGCTGGCTAGATTTTTGCGCGGCTGCGTGCTCAGCCTCCAAACTGAGGACAGATGAAGAACGTTCCGTGGTCCATTTTGGCAGCATGCCGTTTGAGCAACCTGGCCACACGTGGGTTTCAGCAAAGAGTTGGCCAGCCGCAAGAACGGTTTTTTTCACACCCTTGATCACTGCCAGCTTTGCTTGCAATGTTTTTAGCGTGGTACAACATTGTGATCGTGGTTCTGGTTGTACACACCTTTTTGGCGTGGGCAATCAGTGATTGTAATCGTTTCTTAATGGTTAAAACGTGGATCAAAGGCTGGCCGCCGAAGTTTCCGAATTTCTACCGGCAACCTGGTTGCAGTACGGGCAGTCCATTTCAGGTACTCCTTTCTTGTTTCCATTGCCAGCCTGCCAGGCAAGTTTACGAGACCAAGACCTTTCAGCCTACCGCGCAGTGACAAAGGAGTATGCTCAGCTTGTGCCAAATGAGAGGCGGCTTGGACTGGTGCATTCAACAGGGGCAGAGTCCATAACAGCGCTGCTTGGCAGGCTACGCGAAGAAAGGGGACGGGCCTGCTTCGCGCAGCGCAAGAAACGTGGTAAGAAACAGCGCAAAACTCCGCCTCCTGGGATGTCGGTGCATTACTCTGGTTTCATCGGCCCATACTTCTACAAGAGCACGGGCAGTATCTTTGATGGTTGGTGGGAATCTTGCGGCTTTACTTTTTCCTCTGTGCAAGATCTTTTTCATGACTGCTGGACCCCATCGTTTACGTGATGGAAGGCCGGGGCCTCACCACACAAATTGAAATTGAAATTGAAATTGTTGTTGTTGCTTTTGCTGTTGCTGTTGTTGTTGTTGTGGTGGTTATGGTTGTGGGTGTCGGAGCCGAGGGCGGCTGTGGAGGCCGAGGCCAGTGGAGGTCCGGAAACCGTTGCCGGGGGTGGGTGACGTTGGGTGGTGTTTCAACGTTTTGGATTTCAAAGATCGAACATTTTACGGTATACATCTTTTCGCCCGGGCAGTCCTGACGATTAACATCGACGCGTCACACATTGGTCCCATCATGGTCCCCTTGTCGCTGATCACGAAAGGTAGCCTAGGCTACCTGAGTTCTATGTACTTTAGTACTAGTCTAGTACTGGGGGAGGTGGCTGCTCCTTTCCCGGAAATTGAGACCCGAGAGTCACGAACGGAGACTTGGGGGGGGTGGGGGCCCTGTTTTTGTTTCGACCTAATACCTACATAGGTACATGCATGAGTATTGAGCACATTTATATGCGCCCTTCAAGGCTCAAGAGGTATATAGAGTAACCCTGTAGACAAGCACGGACCGGCAACAGGCTGAGTAAAACAAGTGCTGTCAGTGGGGAAGACGCCTTAGCTGATCTTGAAGTAGACGCTAGGGCCCCTCTTCAAGTGGTAGCGGAGCTGTGATCCCTCATTGAGGGTGAGCTCCAGGAAGAGCCCAAGCAATGGCAAGCCATGGCTATGATGATGATGACTTCGACATTGTCGATGCAAATGAATGGAACCAATATGACTCTTATGCAATGAGAAGAGCACCCCAGCACACACAGATTCATATGACGCAACAGATGACCACAAAGGTTGCTCCAGCCTATGATGGGCGAACCAGCTTCTTTGCTTTTGAGGATGCAATCGATGACTGGTGTGACATTACGGAGTTAGAACCAGAGAAACGTGGTCCAGCATTGCGCAATAGACTGGAAGGAGATGCTCAACAATACAAGAGGCTATTGGATAGAGAATTACTCAGGGATCCCTATGAAGGAGTGGCTTATTTCAAAAGATTTCTACGACCTCATTTCATCAAAGGTGCCCAGAACGTGTTCTTATACCGTTTCATGCAGTTCATGAAGTTCAACAGAGGAACCATGGATCTTCAGAAGTGGATGACTAGATTTCAACTCACTGGCAATAGACTTATTGAGTCTTGGATGGATTTACTTCCAGAAGTAACAGTGACTAGTCCTGAAGCAATCCTGTTTGTTCAACAACGACGTCAAGAACATGAACGAGATCAACAAGAGAGAGCTGAAGTAGCAGCAGCCTCAGGAACACCCATGTAGCTGTTCCTTGGACAGATGAACTGGCACTAGCGGCATTCAGACAATTTCAGGAAAATCGTAGAGAAGCACAGCGACAAGCATTCCCACTGGGTGAAAATTTGCTAGCATTGATTTTTGTAAGTCTAGCTGACCTGAGTCAAGATCAGAGAAACACACTCACAAGTATCATGACACATCGTGGACGAACCCTCGATCGATACAGCATTCAAGAACTACGTGACCTGTTCTTGGAAATGTTTTGCACTACCAAAACAGCAGTTGACAATCCATTGATGCAACCCTCTGGCATGGCACAGAGAAGATCTTTCCTCGTACTGGATGAAGGTGAATTAGAAGGAACCGACGGCTATTGGGCCGAAGATGAAGAAGACGGCGCAGAAGGATTCCTGGATGCTTTAGAAGATGTTTTCTGGGTTATGATGACGCCAACTTCACATGGTATCAGAGAAGGTTCCAAGGCAAATACATCAGACGAGGCAAAGGTAAAGGAAAGAGAAAAGGAAAAGGAAAAGGCAGAGGAGGACGAAGATTCTTCAGATCAAGAAAAGGAAAAGGCCGAGGAAAAGGAAGAAAGAAAGGCCGCTCTCACATGGTGAGTGAAGAAGGTTATGAAGATGAATGGCAAGATGATGAATGGAATGAAAACTATGACGGCTATTGGGCCGATGATCAAACCTGGAATGAAGGCTATTGGGCCTATGATGATTCATACTACATGGATGAGTATGGATATTTCCAGAGGAAAGGAAAAGGAAAAGGAAAAGGAAAGAAAGGCAAGAAAGGCAAGGATGATGATGGCAAAGGAGGAAAGCCAGGAGATGGAAAAGGCAAGTCGAACTATGTTCAACCTCAGACCACATCAGCTCCTGCCATACAGAATCAACAAACTCAACAAGCTCATTATTCTTCTGCAGCTTCAAGTTCTGGTCATGGTTTCTTTTCATTTGGAACAACTGAACCAGCACGTGTTGATGTTGCAGAGACAGAGCCAGCTCGTGTTGATGTTTTGACATCCACGTATGCAGCACAAGATGAACAACGACGTACTCGTCGTGGAGGACAGAACCAACGTGATGCAAGAGCACATCAAAACAGGAGAGAAATGAAGAGATTCCCTGTTCTGGTTGGAGAAGTTGGTGCACTACGACAAGGTGTACAACAACGTCCAGCTGTAGTGCCCAGGCAAGTTGGTCTTCAAGAAGGTGAGGCTTCATGGAAGCCATTGGCAGAAGGCACATCATTGTTTTCACATGGATGCTCTACAGAGATAGAGGAACCATCACAGCAGAGTGCTTTTTCATTTCATACTGTACAAACTGATCTGGCATGTGAGAATGGACTAGCTTTTCACACAGAGAATTCTGCACCACCAACTGTGTGTATTCTGGATCTTGGATGCACAAGAGCTATGGGCTCTCGACGAGCAGTTGAAGCATTTTGCAGATATGTTGGCTCACATCCCAACAGTGGACTCTGGTATGAAATTCAGCCAACAAGTTCAAGATTCTTCTTTGCAAATTCACAACAATCAAAATGTACTGAGAAGCTCGTGATATTCATGTATGATCATGGATGGAACACTCAGTTTACAGAATTCGACATTGTCGAAGAAGGTGATGTCCCATTGTTGATGTCACTTCCACAGATGAGAAACCTTGGATTTCAATTTGAACTTACTCCAGAGAAGGCTTATTTGTCCTGTGCACGTATTGGCATGAGAAAAATGGTTTTGAGGACAGCCATTAGTACTCATCTCATTCTCGACCTACAAGATGTAGCATGGTACATGAGCCAAGTTCATTTCAAGACTCCACAAGTCAAAAGTTTCTATTCACAACACGATCACTTTGAGTACAGTCAGATTGCTGTCAAACAAGATGATCATGAAGGAGAAGCTTTGGTGACTGGTGACTACTGGCAGGTTGAACCACTACGTCGTGAACTCATCAGGCACCACAAGGACAAGAGAATGAACTTACATGAGATGACTCGATCAGAGAAAACTCCAATTCCAAAAGATCAACTTCTTGATGAGAGAGAAACCACATGGAATTCCAGAAGAGCAAGAAGAAGGTTCTTCACAAGGACAACTGGCGCACTGAGAAGAAGAGGTTTTCTGAACAGAGTGAAGAGTTCTGGAAGGGCAAGACCATCTACAAGATCAAGGAGGACTACGTGATCCCAGATGACATTGTCAGAAGTGACATTGATCGTGCAAAGCCCTTTCGTGGAAACATTGATGATCTTTTTCACCCTGAGTCAGCCTCTTCAGTGCCATCAGGTGTACAGAAGAAGAAGCCAAGCTCCTTAAAGAAGGAGGAAGGCAAACCGATTTCAAATGGACCAGGCTCGAAAAAGATTGAGGTAGGTCCACCTGCAGCCAAAAGACACGTAGGTAAGCAGAAACCTCAGGTTGTCGATGACTCTCAATCAGGTTCATCAAGAAAGAAGGTTGTTGTCTCCTATCCCAAGCTTGATGAAGAAGATGAGCTTGACAAGGTAGCTAGGGAATTAGGTTTGGACAAAATTGATTCAGATGAACCTCAAGTCATTGAACCAAAACATTCTGCACCTGCGCGCAACCGTGGTAAGCAAGATTCAGAAAGTCAAGTTGAGAAACTAGGTAGTGATGCTCTTGAGCCTAGGCGAGTTTCGATTCCACTGCCTGGTAGTGAAGTGCAAGCCATGACACCAGCATACAGAAAGATGCTCAGGAAACTGGAGGATAGTGTGGAACTTTACAAGCTTCACATTAAACACTATCACATGTCTCCTACTCAATTCAGACGAAGGACTTCCATGTTAGGACTTCCTGACTCTGTTTATCAGAAGTATGAGGAGATGTACAACAAGTGTCGTGTGTGTAGTACTTCAATTGCACCACCGCCGCGAGCCAGAATTTCAGGCATACGATCCACCAACTTTGGAGATGTTATCTTTGTTGATCATGCTGAAATTCAGTTGAGGAAGAACAAGTACATGGTGTTGCTTGTTCTTGATGGTGCAACCAACTTACTTTGGGCTACGGCACAAAACTCACTGAACAACAAGGAGACCATTCAGGCTCTAAGGTTGTGGAGTGATGAACACAATTGTATGCCTAAAGCCATTGTAGGTGATGAAGCTTTCTTTCAAGAAGACTTTCTGACTTATTACCGAACTCATGGTATCAAGGAATGTCCCTGTGGTTCAAGAACCCCATGGCCTAACAGAGCTGAATCAGCTGTCAGACTTTTCAAACGACAATGGCAAATCATGTCCAAGAACCTTGAAGATGATAGGTTCAAAGGAATCACCATCAGAGAAGCTGTGAAGCGTACTGTTTGGGCCAGAAACACTCAACTCACTGTTAGTGGTTATTCTCCTTTGGAAATTGCCACTGGTAGAAGACCACCAGATCTTCTGGATATTGAGACTTCTGATCCTGCTCAACTTAGTGTTGACCCTTTACCTGAAGACAGAACACAACTCGAGTTGCAAAGGTTAGCACTGAGGGCACATCAGGAAGCCAGACAAGCTGCTGACCTCAGACATGACATGGCCAAACGAACAATGCCATCAGATGGACCTTACAAACCAGGTGACAAGGTTTTCGTTTGGAGTTCCCCTGTCAATGCTAATGCTATTGCTTCAAAGGCATGGAAGAAGGAAAGATGGATCAGAGGTACTGTTATCTCTCAAGAAGGTGCTATGGTCAATGTTCATGTTGACAACGCAGTCATGCGTGTTAATCAATCGAAGGTGAGACGTGACCATGATGAATGGCATGATGTTGCTGTTCCTGGACTTGACACATCAGAACCTGTTCCACTTGCAGTTGAAGATGAAG